TCTTAAAAGCAGAGTAAAAATGATATGTATAGGGGAAGAAAGAAAAGGACAGCAGACTTCTCATTGGAAATAATTCAAGCTGGAAACAGTGAACCAACACCTTTGAAGTACTAAAAGAAAACACCCCACTATCAATCTAGAATTCTATACCCAGCAAAACTATCTTTCAAAATTGGCAAAATACTTTTTTTAGACATACAGAAGCTGAAAGCATTTAGCACCAGTGGACCTACATTAATGTTAATGTCCTCTAGGCAGAAGGGCAATGATATCACGTGGAAACTTGGATCTGCAGGTGAAATGAAGAGCACCGGAAATGTAAACTTAGATGGGCAAATATAAAGCCTTTGCTTCTTATTACATTTCTTCGAAATTTTAATCGACTATTTAAAGAGAAAATAATAACAATGTATGGTGGAGCTGATGCCATACACAGAAGTGAAATGTATGATGACCACAGCACAAATACTGGGAAGGGAGAAAAGGAAGCCTACGCCGTCAATTCTTGTAGCACACGTAAGGTGGTATGATGTTACTTGAGGGTAGACTATGATAGGATAAAGGTGTATACTTTTAACTCTACAGCAGCCACTAAAATAATACAACACAGTTATAGCTAATAAGCCAACAAAGGAGAAAAACAGAATGATAAAAAATACTCAGTTAATCTAAAAGAAGGGAGAAAAAGAGAAAACAGGGAACAAAGAACCGGTAGGATAAATAGAAAATGAATGATAAGTTGGTAGATTCAAATCCAACCATATCAATAATCCCATTAAATGTAAATGATCCAAATACCCTGATTAAAAGGCAGAGGATGTCAGATTGGATTTAAAAAATCAGTACCCAAAAATATACTGCCTATAAGAAACAGACTTTAAATATAATGACACAAAGAGGTTACAAGTCAAAGGATGGAAAAATATACCAAGCTGGAGTATTTATATTAATACAAATGAAGTAGCTTCACAGTAGATAAATAAGGTCATTTAAAAAATGGTAAAGGGGTCAGTTCATCAACCCTGTACATTTATGCATCTAGTATCAGAGCGTTAAACTACATGAGGCAAAAATTGATAAACTGGAAGGTAAAAGAGACAGACAATTATAGTCCTTCTTCCTTCCCCCCTCCTTCCCATCCTCCCTCCATTCCTTCCTTCCTTGTCAAAAAGCCATTAGGTAGATCCCCATGAGGTGGGCAGTCAGCCTGAGTGTGGGAGGCAGGCCCAGGGGGGCCAGAGATTGGTTACATGCAGGGAGACTGAGGTAATGCGAGCCTTGTTTTTCACCATCAGAGAGAGGAGGTACAAACACGGAAAGAGGAGGCCACGGAATGAACCATGTGGTGTTGGATTGGAATTGAATCTATCGGTGTGAACTCACAGACTTCCGCCGGTATGGATAGGACGAGAAGACTCAGAAGTGAATCCAGACGTAAATGTGTATGCGTGTGTGTGTGTGTGTGTATTTTTTCCCCTTTAAGCCTGTCCACTGAAGGGCCTGGGAGCTGCCCCACTCTAGTGTCAGTAGCACACGTAATGCCCGGGTCTTGGTTTCCAAACGCCCTTCTCCACTAAAAGGAATGAGGTTCCTTAGAGAAGTGACTGATTTCAGGGGTCTGGCAGGGAAAGAATGAGATGAGTCTGGAACAACAGAAAGTAGGAAAATACTCAAAGAATAAAGAGGACATGTCAAAGGTCAGAGATGCCAGTTTGAACTTCCACTGGTAAATCTAGAATAATCTGAGAATCAAAATTTAAAAAGAAGTGACGGCAACTGATTCTAACCCATTGAGAAGAATAGGAATCCGTGAATCCACAACACTTAAACAAGGAAATGAATAAATCAGTGAGAATAACAGAACATTTTTTCTTTCGGTAGAAAGCCCACAAATAAATGAAGAGAGAACGGAGGTATGAGAACGTCTCCAATTGGCGATGACTGTAAAAAATAATTAATTCAGGCAAGAAAACCCACAAATGCTAAAATTAGTGGGTAAAATTGAGACGAGGAATGGGGTTTTACATAGTCTCAAAATATCTCCCTGCAAAAGATTGCTTTACAAAGGGGAAAAGCATAGTGGAGAGGCCTGGCAGCAATGATCTTTGTCAAAGGATTGAAATTAGTGCTATCAGTAAAGGGACAAACAGACGTCGTATGCCGCCCCTGGGCTGACACGAAAAGAACACAGCTTCTGTGATGTTCTGGTGCAAAAAGGCATAACTCACCCCCAATTAAGGGACACTCTGCAAGATGACCGCTCTTACCATCTTCCAAACGATCAAGGCCACGACAGGCAAAGACAGGCTGAGGAATATTCCACGTTGAGGGAGATGAGAAAGGACTGGGCTGTCTGAGGATAGGGAAGGGAAAGTGAAAGATAAATGGGAGGAAAACAAGCCTGTGACTGTTTTACAAATGCTACTGTGCACAGGTGCACAGCGCCTTGCTTGTGGCAGCACTCAGTCTAGCTCCTCCTACAGCACTAGTCACAGCCAGTACTTAGCTATTGCTGTTCTTAGGTTTACTGATGAGTTTATCCAGACCACTCACCACTCTGGGGTGAGCTAACGGGCACTTTAGCAGTGCCAGCGACACTCACACCAGCACGTCACACCCCCAAGACTATTACGGCAGCCCAAGAGTGCATGGCATTTACAAAGTTCAAGGGACTCCTCCATGTGAGACCAGCCATTTGAACATTTCCATTCCTCCTTGAGCTTACTGAGAACCACAGAAAAAGTAAAACATGCTTTGAGCCTTATTGAGTAGCTGAATCAAAATCTGGGGAATATATGCACAGATATTCAAGAAGTTCCTTCAAATGTTAGCTGAAAATAAATGGGCTGGTTGTCTTCTTGCCTCTGACAAGCCTTCTTTGCTGTCTTTATTTACCAAATACTTAATAGGCCCCTTCCATTTGCCTGGTCCTGGACTGACAGCCCCTGCCCTGAGCCCCTCTCCGTCTTGTGGGACGGACCACATGCAGGGAGAATAAAAGGCAGCAAGTCCAATGCCAGGGCAGTCAGGGTTTCATGAGAACCCTTAGGAGGGACAATGCTTTGGGCTGGGGTGAGGAGTGAGTGGAAAGGAGTCAGGAAGTACTTCCTGGAAGAAATGATGCCAACTATAATAAATGGGATCTAAGACACTCAGCTGGGCAAAATGCAGGTCTGCATTACCAGGAGGTCAACGAGCTGACCAAGGGACCCTACTGTGGAGGATGGGGACCGACGGCCGATCACACGATACCCCAACTCGTGCTACGGCATGGCTGCACCATGCTGTGTTTTTAAACTGCTTTTACGACAACATGGGGAGTCTTTTTCTCCAGTCCTATGCCTCGTTCGAGGAATACCTGCCACTCAACTTTCCTAGTCCACAGAGTTTATGCTGTTAACAGAGCCAAGACTTAGTCTCTGGCTGGGGAAAAATATTACACATTGGACATGTGGCTTTGCCACAACCGGCATTTGCTGTTGAGTGTGTGCCTAAGACGGAGGAGGATGCAACAGGAGTGCGACAACCCCAAACCTCAAAAAACTGTTATTACTAAGAAGAAAGGGCAAATCTAAGTTCCTAAAAGGAAACGGCATTTGGTGGCAAATTGAATAGTAGGGCTAAAGCAGATTAAAATAAGATTCTACTGATTGTCCCTAATGCAGTGTGTTCAAGAAGCTTTTAGCCAGAGGCTCCCAAGAAAGAGTAGTTTAGGATACCAGGCAAGAAAAACGCAACCATTGGAAGAGCTGAGTGCGAGCCCGGGGTGGGGTGAATCCACACTCGTCAGCCAGGTACGTCTCTCCTTTCCCTCCCTCTCAAGCTCCACTGTCAGTTTCGTGGTGTTTATGGGAAATATCCACAGCTCAGCTCTTCACTTCACAGGGAGAGCTAACATAACAAGAGGTTAACACGTCCCACTGTTGGGGAAGAACCTCCATAGAACAAAAAAGACACTACAACGTGGAGGCCCTTAAATTATGAAATAAAACCAGTTATCAATTGCTATGCTGAAACGCAGGGTGCCAAACTTTCTTTTCATGCATTTACCCCTACAATCACGTGAAAGACCACTAACTTGAAGAGCAAAGGAAAAGATGGATAAGTAAAGATTGCTCCTTCTCTGGTTCTGATTGTATCTTTGTGGTGCCCCAAGGACTGAAGCTTTACTATGAACTTAATCTTCAAGCAATGTGGCGCTGATGGGGAAAATCAAATCTCTCACAATTTTCTTTTTTAAATGTATGTAGCTCTCACTCCTGTGTAGGGATTCAGGCATTTCCCAGAAATCTTTTTTTTTTTTTGTAAGTATGCTTTTTGTTGAGGAAGATTGGCCCTGAGCTAACATCTGTTGCCAATCTTCCTTTTTTTTCCCCCTCCCCAAAGCCCCAATACATAGTTGTACATCATAGTTGTAGCTCATTCTAGTTCTATGTGGGATGCTGCCACAGCATGGCTTGAGGAGTGGTGCGTAGGTCTATACCCAGAATCCGAACTGGCAAAACTCTGGGCTGCTGCAGCAAGGTGCACAAACTTAACCACTTGGCCACGGGGCGGGCCCCACTCACAACTCTTTTATTTATTTATTTGTTTTTGAGGAAGATTAGCCAGCCCCTCACAACTCTTTTATTTATTTATTTATTTTTCTTTGAGGAAGATTAGCCCTGAGCTAACATCTGCTGCCAATCCTTTTTTTGCTGAAGACTGGCCCTGAGCTAACATCTGTGCCCATCTTCCTCTACTTTATATGTGGGACGCCTGCCACAGCATGGCTTGCCAAGCGGTGCCATGTCCGCACCCGGGATCTGAACCGGCGAACCCCGGGCCGCCAAATCAGAACATGTGGACTTCAGTGCTGTGCCACAGGGCCAGCCCCTCACAACTCTTAAGTGGCTATTCTTATTACCCAGACAGAAGAGCTTTATCTTTACTTTCATAAATTTAAATGCTATCATTAGTCATTATCATCAAAGTCCAAAACATACCAATGAGACTGTGACTCAGAACAAAATACAGTACAAATTTATTGACTCCAATCATTCTTAGTCAAGATTTAAGCAAAGTAAACAGACAACAGAATTGGATACAAATAAGCAATGGATTAACATTAGATAGAAATCCTATTTTACTGTGAATTTTCAGTCCAAAAAAGCTTATTCCTAAATAAAATTGAACAATGATTTACTCTGCTAAGGCATATGTCAACAAAATATACACAATTATAAAACCACATTTGTTTTTCTTTTAACAATAAGCATTTATTCAATGAAAATTCTGAAATACTCTTGGATTAATGTCACTAAGAAATTACCACCTTTTGAAAATTAGTATTAACCAAGTACAACTTTGTGGGAAATCTGGACAGCACGAATAAAAGACTCAGGAGCACTGAATCCAATTATTTTAAAGTTTTACAGTAAAATACTTTGGTTCCCAAACAATTGTCTCTAAAAGGAATTTTAAAAAAATCTAACATGAACTCATTTTTGCTCTTCTGGAATCTAAATGCGGACGGCTCAGTTTTCTTCCCAGTAGCGTGGAAATGCCGTACACTAGAGAACTCGACGGGAAGCACTGAACGAGTGTGTCAAAAATTATGCAAACATCAAACTTCTTAAAGTGCTAAAGCCACAAGAGAAAAACCTATTCTTAAAACTTAAAAAAAAAGCCAGTGTTAAAGAACTTATTAAAGAATATGGGCTAGCATTATTTAAATCAATAATGCTTTTCATAATTATTGCAAAAAACATGAATGAAACATCAAAAATTGATAAACTGACTTATAATATTCCAATATTAATTAGTGCAATTTATAAAGAAACCTGTTATGAATGACCTCTAATTACTTTTGTAGTAAGAAAATTCAAATATTTTACTTCCTGAAGTTTCAGATTATGGTTGTACACACACTCACACACACACACACAATCTGTGGGAACAAAGGCTGACTTCAGAGCTGTTAATTCCTGTCCCTCCCTCACCCTGACCGTCAGTTGGCCTGTAGATGGAGACACCTCCTGCCTCCACAAAAGGGCACATTTCACTCTCGTCTGTTTCTATGCTCAGCATCAGCGGGTGTTATGTGTGGATACGATTACCACCAATTAAGTGCTGGGGCATATTTTTAAAGAGGCTGTAAGGATCCATTCCAAAACAGAAAACCAAGAACCACATCCACCTCCCCACAAATGCAAATAACATCACTGTTGAAGTATTTGTATATTTTGATAAAATTATAATGCATACTAACCATAACTAGTTTTGAAGGCGAATATTCTATTAATCTTGAAATATTACTATTAAAAAATGCAGTTACCTCCATTGCTTACTTTGATAAAAACATGTTTTATGGTGTTCCTCCCTCCCTCCCCCACATGAAGAAAATGATTCAATAAAAGGTTCTGAGATTAACAAAGAATATATTAAAACATCTTACATTCTTTCCACAACCGCGTCAAAGCAGGCATCCTGAATACTTACAGGGCATAACAAGCTTTCTACATTTTCAAAAATTAATTACAATCAGAAAAAACATTTACAAGAATATCTTTACTAGCTAAAGAGTTGCAACAATGAAAGACCAACTAGCCTACTGGCTGAGAAAAACATTGTTAAAAAAACTGTTTGCTGAACAAAGCAATTAAGGTGTCTTTCATTATTTTACTTCTTAACATTTAAAATAGCTACAGGAGTGGAAGCATATTTCATTTTTTGACCATCAAAATAAACTCTTCCAGCCTAATGCTTTTCAGATACAGTATAAAAAGTAATAGAAAAACCAGAACTGCATTATAAATGTTTTTGGTTCAAAATTTTATTTGAAATCTTATATTCCTTGCCTAGACAAAATGTGAACGAACAAGACAAAACAGTGGCAAAATTTTAAAAATCTAACAGATACGCAGAGCCTATATTTAGATCAAAAATATCTTTCTTCTAATTAACATTATTAAAAAATCTTCAAAAACGTAGCATAAAGGTTCAAGTCTGGGATACTGGATTTCCAACGCCAAGATACTGTGCATCAGGGGGTTATGAGGTGCTCCAACGGCCGTCAGTAGTGATGGCTCTGAAGGAAACTGTTTTGAAGTGACAGCTACCAAGGTGTTCACCTCACACAGGGAATGAGTTCAGGGAACAATAATCCATCCTCATGTTTCACCTAAGATCATATGCTTTAGTTTTGTCTTTAAAATGCATAGATTTCTTCAAGAAAATATAAAGATGGCAATAATGAGTAACTGCAGCTTAATCTTATTTTCCTTTCTCCACCGAATTTAAGTAAGAACGAAAATAGGAAGTAACCACTCAAATACGTGGGGACTTTTAATAGTTTTCAAATGAAAGAATGAGAGGCAAAATTTCTATGATGTACAAAGTCAATCAGTATTTTACAAAAATGCTTGGGTTTCAATAAAAATATCTTTCCTACCACTGGAATGGAATGTGGGTAATGAGATTGATGAGTACAGAGTTCTTTTCTGCGAGAGGACAAATTTAAGTAACTCAGCAAATTATTTCTTCGTCACAAGAGATTCTTTTTATTTGAAAGAAGAGCTTGTAAAAAAAATTAATAAACTCGGAGTCTTAATCCATATCACTACCTTAAAAGGATTGTGTAGTTTCAACACTATTTCTACTTGTATGTATCTACGCCACCCTCAAGTAAAATAAAAATTTTCCCTTTTGAACGCCCCATTGAACTCTGGACAACACCTACTGAAAGGCTTTTAATGACAACTTAGAACAGGAAAGAAAAAGAAGACCAAACCCTATGGACCAAAATGAGCAGCAGAAACTAATTTTGGACCCTTGACAGCACTTGAACACATATGTATGAAAGTTCAAGCAGTGACGTAAAGCAGAATGGCTTCACTATGGGCGTTTTGCCACGATAAACGCCAACAAGTGCTAACAGAAATCATCGCAAGACAGAGGCAGGAAACTGTGCATTGTGTCCATTGTTCTGAAAAGCCTGTGGGACTGCAGTGTGCTCGCTCTCCCTCTGCTCCCCGTCCCTGAAGTCAGCGGGAATTCAGGACTGAGAGCGGCCCCACTGACCCCAGGGGCCCGGGGCCTTCGTCAGTCTACGTCCTACCTGATTTGTGATACCAACGTTGTTAAGTTCGAAACTACTGCTGTATGCTGTTTTTTGTCCCAAACACACTCAGATTTTCAGTTTGTGACAGCATCAAACAGGAAAGCACACGTGTGCAGTCCTTCCAATGCCGATCTGACTTTACAAGTGTGCCGTGCACACGCAGCACGATCAGCACTTTTGATCGTAATGCCTGTCGCGACTGAAGCTTTTGTAAACCAACCGGGAGGCCTTCTGGAAATCTTAATCTTTTTATTTCCCAAGTCTTCCACCATTAATTATAGTAAATGACCCAAGAGCAAGTTATTTTATAAAAATTTAAGTGTTACTATTGCTGATTTAAATTTCTCACAATTTTCATACAAAAAAAAGTTCTACATGACCACAAAATACCAAATATTTATTTTTATCAAGTGTCAGGATAACTTACAAAAGTTGAGGTTTATCATTTTTCTTATTGCTAAAAAGTATTCTAAGATCTAAACCAATACTGCAAACTATTCCACTTCTTCCTGATACATTTTGGACTTAAGAACATGGCTAAGATTTAAGTAGAACTTAGGTGTCTGATATAATCAAAGGAAGAAATACTTTAATAGTATTCCACTAATTGCAAATCAGTAAAAAACCAAAACAACCTCAATTGAAAGATTATACTGACACCATGGATAGGGGACCATGCAAACAACCGAGATCAACCAAATGTCAACAGTAATGAAGTCGCACCGCCCTGTGGCGAAGACGTCCAGAAGCACGATGTTTCTCAGTTTCTAAGTGGAGTAAGGACATTACTAATTAACACCAGTTTACCTCACACTTACATTCAAGCATAACAATTTCCAACCTTTATTATTCTTTTTTAAAAATATTTTGTTTCTTATGACACATGTCACCCTGCAGGCTGGAACCAGGAGGCCGTCCCCCGCTTCGTCACAGGTAAGAAGGGGCGGCCCTTTAATTGTGGGTTTGTTCGTGACTCCAGAGGCTGAACGCCGTCTTGAAGGTCCTATGGCAAAGTTTACACATGAACTGCCTTTTGAAGGTGATTGCTGACAGGGGTGGGGCGTGGTAGAAAAGCGTGTCTGACTCCTGGGGCGCAAACAGCTTCTCCGTGGAGGGGGCCGGGTTCTCTGGCAACCCCGTGGGGCTGTCAGGCTCCAGGGGCTGGATCTTGGGCAGCGGCGGTGGTGGGGGCAGAGGCGGCGGCGACGGAGAGTTTGTGGGGACAGGGCACGCGTCCGAGTCCTTGTGCGCCGGGTCCTCTGCTGCCTGAGACATGTGCGACTGGAAGTGGCTCCAGAGCCGGAAGTTGGTGCGGAAGGCTTTGTTGCAGACGTGGCAGATGAAGGGCTTCACGGAGCACAGGAGCTCCTGGTGCCGCTCCAGCTGCTTGTGCGCCGGGAATGTCTTGCCGCACTTCTCGCAGGGCCACAGGCCGGGGTCCGCGCTGGAGCCCGCGTCCTTGGGGGCAGCGCTGGCCTCGGGCGCCTCTTCCTCAGCCTCCTCCGCAGGCTCCTCTTTCACCTGGATTTTCAGCTGCTTCGAAAGGCTCAGGTCTTCAGGGAGACAGGAGGAGTCTTCCGAGTCGAAGTTCACCTGCTCGGAACAGTCGCTGAACACGTTGTCGTCTTTCGCTGCGACCAGGTGGTTGGTGTTCCGGGGCTCGGGCGGGGCCTGGGGCCTGGAGGGCGCGCTCACTTCACCATTGTGGTCCAGGACGGGGAGGGAGAAGTTTTCGGCCGGCGCCATGGTGTTCTGGTTGTGGACCTCGACCTGGTGCCGCCAGATGCTGAAGGAGGACTTGAAAGTGCGCATGCACTCCAGGCACGTCAGCTTCTTGTACTCACACTTGCTCTCGTGCTCGTGCTTCAGCTCGGGCGAGAAAAACCTAAGGCTGCAGTAGGGGCAAACGGTCGCGTTGCGGCACAGGCGCTCGTGGTTTCCTTGCTCTAGAAGAGAAGAGAGCTCAGCATTACAGAGGCGGCACTGGTAAACCTCCTTGTTTGCTACCGGACTCTCGAGAGGAACATGCTCTTTTGGCTTAGCAATTTTGTGGACGCCAACGGGCCTCTCTCCCGGGTGCATCTTTATGTGCTGCTTGAACTGCGAGAGGAAGCGATAGGCTTTTCCACAGTACGTACAGATGTACGCCCCTTTGGCTCGTGATCGCAGGTTCCGCTTGATGACCTGGGCCTGGGAGCCGCCCTGGCCCTGAAAGCCGGGCTTGCCGCGCCTGAGCTTAATGATCAGGGCCTTCTTAATCTCTCTCTCTCTCACTATGTCAATCAGCTTTCTTTGGAACTTCTCATCCAAAACGGCATGTGAACTAGAGGCTGGTGACGGGTTCTTCACTATGCCGTGCTGGGTCTGACAGTGTGTCCACACTTTGAAGTTCGTGTGAAACCGCTTGTGACAGATGTCACAAGCGTAGGGCTTTTCTGGGTTATGGTACATGTTAATGTGCCGGTGAAGACCTGCTGTTGATCTAAAGATCTTAAGGCAATGTTTACATTTAAATTTTTTGTTTGGTCTTGTTCCCTCCAACTCACCAAATTCATCTTTATTCAAGTCAGAATCTGGAAAATCTGCCTCGAGGAGAGCGGGGCTTGAGCCTTCCTCCAAATTGTCTGCTGACCCCGGAGAACCGGGCCCATCCTCCTTGAGCTTCTTAACCGGCAGTCTTCTGTCCGCCTGGAACCTCCTTTTGGCTGGCAGTCTGCTCATGTCTTTTTGGTCGTCTTCTGTTTTCAGAGAAAGGTCTCTCGTGCTGGAGGAGGCCGCTGCGGCGTCGCCCACGGTGACTCGGATGATGTCCGAGGGATCCGACAGCGGGCTGCGGGGCTCGGTCTTGATCCGGACCTCTGTGACGGGGGGCACTCCCTCCCTCTCTGTCGACTGAGAAGCGCTGAAGGACCGGAGGCGGTGCGGCTGCGGGACTGGAGTCCGGTCATCCAGGGCTGATTTTTCACCGCCATCTTTTAAAGATGACCTTTGAGATAAAGCACAAAACACATTCCCTGGTGCGTCGACTGACACTGAAGATGACCCCTGGGAAGATTTCAAATCTATTGAGGGTGAGTAGACAGGAACCTGGCTGTCCATCGACAATGACCGCCTGAGGAGACTCTTGACAAGAGGGCCACTTCTGTCGATGCTTTGGTTTCCAGAACCAGACCCACTGGATGGGATCACTAACCCCAGCTTTGAATAGTACAGCAAGTTTCTATCTTCGCCAGGACCACTTCCTTTGTTAGTTTCTTTCAACAGATACGGAGTCTCTGATGAGCTTCGAAGAGACAAAACAGGTGGCCGTGGTCTTTTCAAAGCCAGCTCTATGGCTTTTCCTTTGGGCAGCTGACCACTCACACCGGGTTTATCATCCCCTGCCTCTCTGTCTTGTAGCGGCTTTGAAGGCAGCACTGCATTCCTTTTCCCCAAACTGCTTCTGTTAGGATCATCCACAGATGCAGAATGCTCGAGAGACTTTGCATACCCTACAGAACTATCTTTTGGCCAAGTCTTTTCAGTCAATGACAAGTTGTGCAGCGGCTCCACCGGTTTGGGAACATGCGGCTTGCTGGTGCTGGTCCTGACGGCAAGGTTCGGTGCAGGCCGGGAAGTATGGCTTCCGTCGGCTGGATGCTGACTTACAGTTTTCCCTTGTGCTTCGTTTCTACTTTGACAAACAATGACACTTCTCTTTTGAGAACTGTTTTCGTCATCTTCTATGAACACTTTTTTCCTGTTGGGACATGCTGGAAAGGGGGCTTGAGGTGTTTTAGAGACGATGTTAGTCAGAAAGGAAATCCCAAGGCTGTAGCCCAGTTCTTGCACAGCGGCAAGGCTGCCTTTCTCAACAAACAAAGACGAAGAATAAATGTAGTTCAGAACGTTATCGAAAGCATCTGGTTCACAAAAGTCAAGCTGAAATACAGTTTGTGACTCATTCTCCTTATTTGTGAATAAACTCTGAAAGTATTCACTGCTGGCAGCCAAGACATTTTTATGAGCTCGAAATTTCTGGTCTCCGACGATCAGAAGCACGTCACACAGCTGTCCTTTGAGGCGCTCCTCGTTGAGGGCACTCAGGAGAGAGATGGCGTGCGCTGGGTTGATGTAATGCAGTAGTCCCTCCATCGCCTGGGCTGATCTGAAAGACAAAACGTGACAGCGTCACGAAAACGCAGGAGGGCTCCTGAGGTGCAGTGCTCCTAGGGGCAGGAACACTAGCTGTCTTTCCGGAGGTGCCAAGAGTTAGCAGATTACAGGCAGACAAAAGCTTTCTGGATGAACAATCTTATTTAAACAACACAGAAAATACAAACAGACAAGTTTTATGGCTTATGTAGGTCATCAATCATTAAAACTGAAGAATTTTAGGAACTGAAGACAATAACAGGCATTTTTATACCCTCAGAAGGCTCCTGGTATGCAGGGAAGCAACATCTGAAAATAAAGGCTTATTATTTAGGGTCCTTATCCACTTGATGCTTGGTTCTATTCCTCATTAGTTCAGAAAATACGTATGAAATATCAAAACCCCTACAGTCCATAATTCTGAAAGGAAATCAGTTTTACTACTGGATGTAATTAAACACAATGTGAATTGTTAACAATGGGTTGTAAAGTAGAGGTCTCGCTAGACCTTTAAAAATAGGTAAGAATTTGGAAAGAGAAAAATCATTTGCTAATTACTATATCATCAAAGGTTAACACAAAGGGTTTAAGAAAGGTTAGAAATAGTAAAGAATAAAAGAGTTTGTTTTCTTTCTTATCTAAACACCTTGCAATCTACTGAATTTTCTTACCAAATTACACTTTCAACAACAGCACAAAGGAAACTTTGGCCTGGATCTAAACTTCATTGTTACTAAGTCTAAATCCGGGTGTCACTTGACGTCCCACTGAGATTCTCTCCAAATCTAAAAGCGAGACACGAGGGCCTAGCAGCCAAGTGAGGCTCTGGCCCAGATGCTGGCTCCTCCCTGTTGTCCATCAGCCTCTCTCTGATTATCCAGTCCCCACGTGAGTTACTCCCACTGGGAGTAACGACTGTGCCCTCCTTTACGGTTGCTGCAAAATTCACATGAGCTAGCATCTCGTACATAGTAAGGACTCAACGAATATTGTGTAATTAATTTTCAGAAACTGCAGGACTAACAAGCACTTAATTCAGTATCAAAGCAAAGGGTGCAGATTCACCCCACCCGTGCTCTTGATGAAGATGAAGTTATTTTGTATGGAGACAACGCCTGATTCTCCAGACCCGACCCTTCACTTAGACTTCTGTTATGGTACCAGCTCAGCCCTGTGGTTTGATTTTATAATGCCACCTTTTCTTTAAAATAGTTATGACACTTACTTTTAATATCAAAATGGATTAAAGGAACCAGGACTATTTGTGACGGTTTTAGCATTCTCTTGAGGGCAAGCAGTAGGTGTACCAAACTTGGCACGCGGACACTTGCAGGTTCTCCTTCGGCTTCAAAGGATCAGCTTCTGTTGGTCGACTGGCATCCAGCTCTTCTGAAGAGCCACAAAGAAGAGTGTGCTAGGCCACCAATCTGGAGCGACCAAACATGGTATACAAATTTCTCGAATTTTATTCTGACTCTGTGCTATGGTGCTGACTCAATTGAACTGACTCAGAGGCATGACTTTGCTTCCGGGGACGAAGCTTGTAGCCCGTCCACGAATGAGTGACTCGGTGAGACTGTATCGAGTTTCTGTTCACTCCTGCCTCCCATCATTTCACATCAATGGGAGATTTTAATTCCTCTATTTGTGATTGTTTGTTAAAGATATTTTCCCTTCCTTTTCCTTTCCTGTCAGCCATTTTAATTTCTCTCTTAATCCTAATATATGGTCTTTATAATCACATATCTATTTATGTGCAAAGCAACCCTTGTCATCTTTTACAGAGGTCAGCAGAGAAAGAAACTTATAATGCCACACTTATCAACTCAGCTGCATACCAAACACTGTTTTTAGTGCGAATAATTTTTGAGAAAGCTAGTTCAGATGTCGCCACAGGGAAAAGTAACATGCAGAATCAAAGGCCTAGACAAGTACTTTGCAAAAGGGTTTCTTCAAATCAGTTTAGTGGTTTGAAATCAGCAATAGGAAAAATAAAATGACTGGGACAGAGGAGAAAACGTCAGAATGTCTCAAAGGTACTAAGACCAAGCTCTCGTGAAACTCTTGTTCCAGTTATGTGCGTACATACCCACCCATGCAAGAGAGTACAATGGGGCTGAGATGTACGACATATTCCTTCCTGAGCGCGGAGTCAAGACAGCATGAAAGTCAGTGCTTGGGCTCATCAACCTCTCTGAGCCTCAGTTTTCCCCACTGTATAATAGGAATAACAGCAGCTACACATAATGCTATTGTGAGAATTAAATGAAAAAAACAGTAACTGCTGTCATTTATTCAGCACCTACAACACACTATAAATTGTGCCAGGAACTCCACATGTCCTTCATTCGTTCACTCATCCAACAAAATGGCATTTGAGAAGGGCTGAAGGAGGCAAGGATGAGCCAAGAGGGAAGAGCATTAAAGCAGAGGGAAGAACCAAGGTAACAGTAGGGCTGGAGTAGAGAGCTGAGGGAACCATGGAAGATGACACTGGAGAAGCACGAGGAGACACCGTGCAGGGCTGGGTGGGCCACTGCAAGAACAGCACTTCTTACCAGGAGTGAAGCAGGCAGCCACTGGAAGACTCTGAGCAGACGAAGGACAATGACCCAAATTATGTTTTACAAAGACTGCTTTGGCTATGTTGTCGAGAATGGACCATGGAAGGTAGGGCAAGAGAGGAAGCTGGGAGGCCAACATGGAATCCACTGCAACGATGCAGGTGAGACATGATGGCAGCCTGGATGGGCTAGGAGTCTACTGCAATGATGGAGGTGTTGACATGATGGCGGCCTGGACGGGCTAGGAGTCCACTGCAACGATGCAGATGTGACATGATGGCAGCCTGGATGGGCTAGGAGTCCACTGCAATGATGCAGGTGAGACATGATGGTGGCCTGGACCAGCTGGGAGTCTACTGCAACAATGCAGGTGAGGCATGATGGTGGCCTGGACCAGCTAGGAGTTTACTGCAATGATGCAGGTGAGACATGATGGCGGCCTGGATGGGCTAGGAGTCTACTGCAATGATGCAGGTGAGACATGATGGCGGCCTGGATGGGCTAGGAGTCCACTGCAACGATGTAGGTGAGACATGATGGCGGCCTGGATGGGCTAGGAGTCTACTGCAACGATGCAGATGTGACATGATGGCAGCCTGGACGGGCTAGGAGTCCACTGCAACGATGTAGGTGAGACATGATGGTGGCCTGGACCAGCTAGGAGTCTACTGCAATGATGCAGGTGAGATATGATGATGGTGCATGGACCAGGGTGGCAGCAGCGGAGATAAAGGCAGTCATTAGGATTTCTAATGGACTGACTGTAGAGGATAAGAAAGTGAGGAGTTAAGGATGTCTCCAAGGATTCTGCCAGAACCACCGGAAGGATGTCTTTACTTGATTTGAAGTTTGATAGAAAAATCGGTTCAGATTTTTTTCAGGAATTCAGTTTTGATATTTTAAATATGAATAGGAATGCATTCATTAATGTAAGCTTCATGGGCATCCTTTCCTGCTTCACTTTCCCTACAACCCTTCTTGCACTTCTGGGGTCACTTCCCAAATGAACATCTACAACTGAATCCTTGTCTCAGGGTCTGCTTTTGGGGGAACCCAAACTAAGAGACCAAGGGAACCTGAAACCACAGGTGGAGGCTCAGGAACTGTATGAGGACTAAACCAAGTGAGATTTTCTCTGTCCCTGGACAGGAAGCAAATGCTACTCCACATACCATTCGGACTCTATTCCTAAAGGGCAAAACCCAACATTTTCTCATCTTTCATCGTTCAGAAAGCTTCTTTTGCTTTCTTCAAATGATCATGATCCCTGTTTTTGTTCTAAGTAACTGCTTCTAATCCCTTGAACCAAGGGCTTTTATGCTCTTTGAATGAAAACAGCTGGGAATTAGGGAATAAGAAGTCACTCACAGTTGAGTCGGAAGAGAAACAGTCACTGTCCCTAAACATTATTTGGGGTTTAAAACTATTCACTTGACTATAACCTCCATTTAGTTATCAACGAGACCGCCTGCTTGAAAAGTGACAAAGCACGTCCACATTCCTGACGCACAGCACAGTGACTCCACAGGATTGACTCTCCATTCCAGCCAGCCAAACACTAACTGGACAGTTTCTAACAGCTAACATTGGAGTGCTCACGCTGCCGCAGACTACTGTAAAGACTTTTCATGCATTAAACTCACTCTTTACAGCAACCTTAGGAGGTACCATCATTATCCCCATTTTGCAGATGAGGAAACTAAGGCATAGAGGGTTAAGTAACTTGCTCAAGGTCACACAGATAATAAGAAACAGAGCAGAATTCCACCAGGTGACTTGGCTGCCAAGGCCACGCTCTTGACCCCTACAGCATACTGGCTCTAGTTACCTCTTTTAATTCTCACATAACCACCTGAGCTGGGCACTGTCATCATCTCTGTTTTACAAATTAGGAAACTGAGGCACTGAGAGGTCAAGTAATGTGCCTAAGGTCACCCAGTCAGTTGGCAGTGGAGCTGGGGGACTGGCCTCAGAGCCTGGACTCTTAGTCACCACGTGACATGCTTCTTACAGCTGGACACCTGTCTAGTATGTGCTAGACCTGGCTAGACAGGCAGGAGACCAGTGCGCCAGCCACGGTCCCACCTTACAGTGCTTGAAGTCTTGTGTGGAATTGGACAAGCCAGTCCGCCATCATGCTCTAGCGTGCTCAGCACCAGATGGGAGCGTGCAGAAGGACAGACAGTGTGCAGGTGAGGCCATCGCACTCAGAGGACGGCGAGGTCAGGGAAGGCACCCATCCTATGGAAGAGCTTCCTGAACCAGCAGGAGTCAGAGAGGGTGGGAGCAGTCAGGAAGAAGGGTGAAGGGCATTTCAAGGACAGGAGCAGTGTGTCCAACGTCACACAGACAAGATACAGTCCTGGCTGGAGCAAAGGATATGTGGAGGGGAGGGCGGGCGAGGAGCCGGAGAGGGGATGGAGGCATGAGGGTCCTGGAGGCTAACGTAAGGCCACTTGAGGAGGAGAGTGACTCTCCCAGCCTCTCCAGCAGGCCAGGACAAAGGCTCTGGGTGTCTGCAGTGACAGGAGAGTGCAGGGCACCTTCACGTTGAGGCCCTTGCTTCTACCTTTAGTTCAAGTATTAAAACTTAAAAACAACGGTCCCTTTCCTAGTCTAGCTACAAACAATGAACATTTTGGACTTTCGTGTTTCAATGACAGTAGGTATATTGACTGAGTTTAACAACTTAACTAAAAATGTAAAATGCTCCATTAAGAATGCAGGCAAAATGTCACAAGCCAACCCAGCAAACCCTCTGCAGCTGGTGGATGTGCAAACTGAGTTCGCAAACCCTCCTGCTTTTCCTGCTCTTCAGCCCTCAGACAAGGCCAGCCTTGCTGATGGACGTACTTTCTCCTGCATAAATCTCTGGCTTATCAAACTCCAGTTGCTCATGTATGTTTTAATTATGGATAATCATTAAGACAGTGCATCAGAAAGCTAAAAGTTCTCACGTATCAATACATATTGCCCCCGTGTCCACATCCCGGGCCTTTTCCACTGCTCATCTCGACCTGACTCATCAAGGCAGGAGTTCCTGCTACCACTTTAGTCATGCTGGAAAAACCTTGGCACTCTTAAAAGAAAAGTGGGTGAAATGTGGAAGAAAAGGCCTGTTTATGATTGATAGAATAAGCTGGGAGGAAATCCCCGAGGAAAGCCAGATCCTGAAACAGGGCTGGTTCGCGCACCACTTGGATCCTCGCACAGAATTTCCTCCCAAACCCCGCCTGAACTGCTTCTAGTCCATGTTTCCTGAAATGGCAAAATGGGAGAATCTCTGTGGCTAACAACTCATGGAAGTCATTACAGCTCCATGGAAAAGTCTTTCAAATCAGTCTACCTGTCGCCAGTCCTGGCTGTGCCACCTATTAGGTAAGTAACCTGGTAAGGACCACTCGGCCTTTCTGATACTATCTGACCACAGAGGATTTCATGAAGAAGACAAGACGTAACATGTCTGCAGGCTCCTAGTAGATCCAGTGTTTCCTATATGGCAAGCACGCATTTTACTTCCTTCCTCTCTCCTTTTCCTGAAGGTTTACGTGGGCTGCTATATGTCACGTATCACAAGAGATGAGTGAGCTGGCCAGCTGCTTGTTCTCCAGCAGCACACATTCCCTGGGAGAAAGACATGTAAAAATAAAATACAATGAAGAATACAAAAAGTGCTAGGAGACTAACGACTTGAGGAAGCAGTTAATTTGGCCAGGAGGTGGAAGGCGGAGGAGGAGTGGGGACAGCTCCTCACTCACCTGACTGTGGCGTCATCCCAAAGCTTCCACTCCTCGCATCCCCACTGCAGACGCTCTTCAGAAACACACCTCCGACCCGGCCAGGGGCTAAGCCTGCCCCGGCCCGAAGGTCCAACCTCCCAGAACAGCCACAAAGCCCTTCAAAACTGGAGGCCAGGAAATTATTGCATAGCACGACCTCAAATTCCTCAGGTACTAAACGCTAAGAGGGGAAGGGAACTCATATCTTAATAGGAATTAATTCCATACAAATAATTTCCTCCTATAGCAATGTTAGATCCATGGCAGGGAGTTAAGATTGTTAAGGGGATGGTGGGATGGTAGGCAATTTGAGAATAGAGCATCCTGGGGATATAAACAGAAGAAAGCAAAGCACAGCTAAGCATTCAGATAAAAGGACACTAGGTGGTGAGTGAGGGGCCCAGAAAGGGAGATGGGAAGAGACCAAAACAACCTCGCCGCCTTTCAAGTTTTGGAGCCCTGGTACCAGGGCTAAGGTACATTAAATATCAAATTTGCTCCAAGACTAGCCAACAAACCCCTTACTACCAGTTCTATAGGAAAATGTCTCTTTACCTCCAAAACATTAACCCAAAACTGAACTCTGGGCACACAATCGTTTGGAATGTTGGGGACTGCTTATGTAGTCTGAACCATGACACTGGACAAGAGGAGGAACGCCCATAACAGAAAGCAAACACCTAGTGAGAAAACCAGAGCATCCACCCACATTTGACTTTGGAGCATAAACACGCACACAGCATTCACCCCAAATCTCACCTCTGGATTTCGCCCAGACTCTCTCTGTTTGATTTTACTATTAGATGGTGACAGGAAGTCGGCTCTGAGTTTGGGTCTTATCATCACTCACTAGGTGACAATGCAGATATCCAGAAATTATCTAAAGCTCCTCAGATTTCAAAGCTAGCCTCCTTTACTTGATCCTTCAAGGGCAGTAATGTCTCTCCCTTGGATCCCATCTCACGGCCTTTCAGTCTCTCTAGGGAAGGTCTCGTTTTGGTTTACGGGGTGCCCTCTGCTCCACCAGCCCGGGGACTACTGCGACAGCGCAGGCTCTTCATGGCACCTTCCTTGATAGAGCAGCCTCTCTCGTCTGGCTCCACCCAGCCGGTAGCCACTCCTGCTGCCAGTCGAGGACCCCTGATCTGGCTCTGGAAGAAGCCCCCTCGCCCCCAAGTGCAGGCTGATGTGCTGCTCTCCCCTCGCTCAGGGGCAGGCAACAAGCAAGGCCAAGCCGATGAGAAACCTTCTCCCGGGAAGTTGGCCGAGGAGAACAAGAGAGGCAGCAAAGGAGGGGCGCTGATTTCTCCGGCAGTGCCTGAAGACGCAGCCGCTGGTTACCTTGGTTTCCGCCCTTCCTGGCCCAATTCTTTAGCTTTTCCTTAACCCTCCAGAGCAACCCTGTGTCTTTACAGTAAATTCCTTGTTCTATGCAGGCTAGCCTGTCAGTTTCTGTTCTTGTTATTAAAAGACCCTAACTAATATATCTCCGAGTGGTCTTCCTTCTTCCCCTCATGCCCTCCAAATCCACCCTTTGTAACACCGCTGCTGGACCGAGCCTCCCACAACACGGCTTTGATCATTCATCGGACGTGCACATTAAGTAAACTGTTATTACTTCAACTTAGTGACTGAGTTCCTATTATGAGCAAGACATGGTGAGACACACCTGAAGTGCAGGGGGGCGCAAAACAGACAAGGCCCCCACTTTCTAGTAGGGAAAATCAGATAAGCAAGAAAAGAAACAAAAAAGCTAACTTCAGACTTGGAACTAAATAGGGTGCTGCGACTGGGCCAAAGTAACAAGGGGCTTGGGGAGGACAGTCAGGAAAGGCCTCGACGTGGTGTTTCAGCTGAGACCTTAGACCCGAGTGAAAAGAAGTAATAATAAAAACAATGGTTCTCCATTAGGTTAAAAAGCAACATTTTAAAAACATGGACTCCTGGGCTTTGTAACCCTGGTTTCCAATTGCTTTTTAAATGTTCTTTTCCTTGACTATTCCCTTGTGGTAACTTCCTGCTGCAGACACTTTGCCTTGGAGACCGAGCTGCACGTCCTGCCTCCTCCATCACCCAATCCGGGATGTCCTAGACCTCATCTAGCCCCCTGCCCAGCACTCCACTCTGCGGAACATTAATCGTCTTTCAGAGCTCAGCTCCAGTGTCAGCTCCTCCATGCAGCCTTCTGTCGTGGGCTGGACTGTGTCCCCCTCGCCTCCCCAAATTCCTATGCTGAAGTGCTAACCCCCAGCAACTCAGAATGTACGTGTATTTGGAGAGTCTTTGAAGAGACAATTAAGCCATAATGAGGTCACTAGGGTGGGCCTTATGGGCACCAATATGACTGGTGTCCCTATAAGAGGAGGCGATCAGGACACACGCAGAGGGGGACCACGTGAACATTTGGAGAAGACGGCCATCCACACAGCGAGGAGAGAGGCCTCAGGAGGAACCAACCCTGCTGACACCTGGATCCTAGACTTCCAGGCTCCAGAATTGTGGGAAAACACACTTCTGCTGTTTCAGCCCGTGGTAGTCGGTCAAGGCCGCCCTAGCAGACTCATATACCTTCCTTGACTACTTTCATTTATAACAAGTGAACACCTTTCAAATCCTGTGCTACAGTGAGTGGCGGCATTTACATGGTGCTCGTTCAGTGCCATGTATTCTCAGCTGCTCGTCTCCCCAGCAGAACCGTTGGCTACCAAAGGACTAAAACTCTGCTTAACATCTTTTGATACTCTTCACAATGCTCAACGGCATCTTGCACTCTAAATGCGGGCCTGGAAAACATGCCTTTTTTTCCCTAAAGTAAAGCTCGTCCCATCACTGTCCTTAGAATACCATACTGATTTTTCTATTACTCCCGATGAAATCTGAACTCTACAGACTGGCATACAAGACCATTTCTTCTCTCCACCCTTACTACACACTCCTTACCATCCAACTTACAAACTTGCACACCCGATTCCAACCACCTAAAATATCTTTGTTACTGTTGCTGTATGTGGCCAACTTCTCCAGAAAGACCCGGCTCAAACATCAGTGTCTTACAAAACCCTCGTGACCTGCTCCCAGCCAGTCGCTCAGTCATCTAACTACCACAGTCCTTGGCCTCTTCAGCAAGATCACCGGGGCTATGCTGAGTGATCTGCTTCTCTGTCTGTCTCCCTCATCAGAGTCCTTAAAAGGAAGAACCCTTGTTTCCACCTGTGTCTCCCTAATGCTTAGCACAGGATGGCAGCTATCTACTGGGTGCAGAGAGAAAGTATCGAGACCTGGACTTGCCCACCTTTCTGGCTCCAGTGTCTGGGACAGAGCTCAGCAGGTGGCAGCCTTCTTGGCTTTCTGTATGAGCTCTCGTGGCTTTAACCACTTTTGGATGAGGATTCCCAAATCTGCATCTCCCTGGGACTCCAGCCTCTCAGGTACCCACCGAACACTCCCATCACAGGATATCTATCTGTCCGGGATGGTATTATGACCCACCCCCACGGCCTGACCCCCACATCTGCCTGTCCTTACATGTTCCCTGATTAGTTTGGTGTGTGGCCAACCAGCAGTCTGGAAAACCAGAAGCCTCTTCTCTTTCGTCTCTAGCCAGTCACCACGACCCGTCACAGCTTGTTCACAAACAGCTCCAGGATCTGCTCTCTACATCCCCACTGGCTTTGGGGCCAATTAAAACTGTCCCTTCAGTCACCTCCTGCTCACCCAGACTCCCTCAAGCATGGAGCCCCCGTCTTGTTACCCCTGAACCCCCCCCCACCCCATGAACCGCCTGTAAGGTCCTCCAGGGCAGGGGTTGCCTCCTCCTCAACTTTTACACCCACCAAAGGAAGCACACTGTACCTTCAATACACAGCGCTAAAAGGAAGAATGAATTAAACATAAGGCCACTTTTAAGTAAACCAAAGCCCCAAATTCCTACTTTCTTTTTAACATCACTATTTGGGGGCATTTAAATGTAAATGTAACGACTGTCAGTCACCAGAGGTAGATGAGGGATTTACTCCGAGCATCAGAGGGAAGAAAATTTTTAAACATAACTGACAACGAGAAATCTTCCTAAAATGGATTAACCCACTTCCTTGCCTTCTTAAACAGGTACGCAGAACCTAACGCAGGCTCCTTATTGATGACTCAGGGTCATCCTTATGAACAACCGCCGGCCAAGGCTGTAATGCGCTGATGCCCTCGGATGCTGGAGGGGAGCAGCGCTGTGCGCTCTTGCACTCAGACGCCCCGGGCTGCTGCGCCGAGCGGGGTCTGGGACCGTCTCCTCCATCCCCGCTGTCGGGCCAGCCCGCGGAGGCCGCGTCTCTACGATCACCCCACTCCACACGTGCTGCGGGGCGGCCCTCTCCAGAGCCACGCAGCCCTGCGGCGGGAGTGCAAGCAGCCGGCGCGGAGGGCCAGGGCCGAGGGCTCCCCCGCGGGTCAAGGCACGATCCTCGTGGTGGTCTGGGCGGTGAGCAGCCCCGACAGCACCACGGGGGTCTCGGGGCCGGGACCGCCCTCCTCTCCGCCTCCGGCCGCAGATCGCGGACTTTCCCAAGTGGGGAACCACCCAGAGCCCGGCGGGGAAGCTGTGTCCGGCGGAGGGGCTGCGCTGCTGCCGCCGGGCGTGGACTCGGAGGAGCAAGCAACCCAGGGCTCCCGGAGGGAAAGGGGCGCGCTCAGGTCCGGCGGAGGGCCCGCCAGGGGGCGGGACGGGAAAGCAAAGTCAACTCGGTGGTGGCGCCGGCGGCCGCCAGGCGGGGCCGGGGGGCAGCAGGTGCCGGGTCCCAGCGCCCCGCCGCTCCCGCGCACACCCGCCGGCCGCCACGCCTGCCCGGGACGCGAGCACGCGCCCCGGCCGGAAGGCATCCCGACTGTTCGCGCAGCGGCGCGCGCCAAGCCCGGCCGGCGGCGTCCACCCCAAGGCCACCTGGCCCGGCGAGGGAAGCCCAGTGAGGGACGGAGCGTGCGCAGTGGCGAGGGCGAGGCCAAGTGCGGGCACGGGGCATGCGCACTGTGAAGGCACAATCGGCTACGTGGGGGCCCGGGGCATGCTCGGTGAGCGCCGCGCCCGGCGCACGCGCAGAAGCGCTCGGAGCCCGCAAGCCGCTGGTGGAGAGAAAAAAGAGAGAAATCACCTCAGAGTTACGTCAGGAAAGGCCGCGTTTTGCGGGGAGGCTGTGGCCTCCCACCGGGCCCCGCCGTTCTCCTAGGGCGAGGGGCGTGACAGTTACTCACCGGTCTTCAGCCGCGAGGCAGACGCCGGGCCCCTTTCCGCTCACACTCGGCTCGCGCGCGCCGCAGCCGCCGCTGCCGCTGTGATTCCATCCATCTTGAATTTGACGTCATCCCACACCAGGGATGAGGTCATCGCAGGCAGCGCTCGTCACGTGCGCGGCGCTGTGATTGGCCGCCGGGCGCCAGGGGGCGGGGCGAGGGAGGTGCGCGGCGCGGGGGGCCGGGCGAGGGCGGGCCTGACGGGAGCGCCGCCGCCGCCGCGTCCTCCCCGCGCCGCTTCCGCCCGGGGCGCCGCCAACCGCCGCCGCCCGCGTGCTCCCGGCGCCCCGCGTCTTCCCCGCGCCGCTTCCGCCCGGCCGGGGGCGGTCGCCGGTGTCCCGCGGGCGGCCCGGAGGGAGGAGGTGGCGGCGGGAGGTGGGCATCGCGGTGGCCCCGAGGACACGCTCCCTCCGACGTGCGCCCCGGGGTCGTGCTGGGACCCACCGGCGGTCGTGGGCACCGGCGCCCGGGCGCGCGCGCGCGCGCGGTGACCTCGCGGGCTGGCCCGCTGCGCGCGTCTGCCGAGAGTGGACCCTGAGCGCGCGCCTTCCCCCATCCCGGAGGACCGCTCGGTAGTGACCGGAGGGAACGGTCAGGGCCCCCGGGGTCCTTCTGCTCCAACAGGTGGGGGTGGCTGCGATCGTCGGCCTCACGGGGCACCTGCTTGTCAACTGTGTGGTCACAGGCCGAGTCCTCCGCTTGGGTGGACATCGAGTTAGGTGATCATTCGGCGGTGACTTTCTCTAATATCCATTCTCGTCTGGTTATGTCTTGGACTGTCTCCTTGCATGAACATTGCAAGTGCATTAATTAGAAAACTCATTTCCCTTTCAATCAAAGCCAGAAAATTAGCAGGAATGCCAGACTGTAAACACTGACACTAAAGGAAAGGTTTTGTTAGCCAGCTAAATAGGACATCTTGATGTGTTCCCCGAAGCCAGATGAGATCAGATCGAAAGGAGGAGGAGGTGCCTTCTAAATCAATAATAGCAGGACAGACACTTAAATTCCTGGATTTTAGATCCGTCTCGTTTAATATCTTTCAAATACGTTTAATTTTTTTTAAGTTGGGTTTATGCACAGGATCCCAGGTAAAATAATTTGTGAGATGTTTGGGGAGTATGCATAAGAAATAATCTTGCATTTGGTTGATAGAAATTAACTACTTGTTCCTAAATTCACAGCTCTGTCAGTTGTTTTGGTTTCCTTAATTTTAAGAGGACTCCTAGTCTCGAAGGAAGAACCTTGCACCTAGAAATTTTCTCCGACGACTATTTAAAAGTTTAAAAAGCATCTGTATTTTGAACTGAGTGGCCGTAGAGCAAAAAAGTGGCTTTGTACATAAAAGAAGGCACAATGCCACCGTGACTGTGAGTCTGTTCAAGGGCCTTGAGTTTTAGGGTCCCCTGCTATCAGGCTCCGGGAGCACGTTGTCATCCTCATGTTACACCTGAGAAAACCGTTGCCAAGGTGTGTGTCGAGAGCCAGAGCCAGAAGCCAGGTTTCCTGGTTCTCAGAGTGTGTGCTATGCTGTGTGCCAGAGCCATCTCCTTCCACCAGTGTTCCTTTCTAGCTGCCTCCGGGGGGTACACGTCGCTGTCTCCCCTTTAAGCCCCGTGGTCAGGTTTTGCCCTCGCCATTTCACTGACTGCTCAATCCCGCGGAAGCCTTCCGCTCTTTCTGTCGACCTCTGATTTGTTACCCTTTACCAATTCCTGCTTCACACCCACTTGCTTCAGCAACACCTCATTCCCCCTGATTTTCTCCATCTTCTCTGACCTCTGGTTCGGCCTCCTGCTTGGGCTCCTCTGTCTGCCCCCGCCCATCCTGTCCTCTCGCTTTGGGTGCCCAGGGTTCTGAACTTGGCCCTCCTGTTACACTCACCTAGTGCAGTCTCCGCCATCACTGGGACATCAGCCCGGCTGCCCGAGCCAGGACCTGGGCACCACCTCTGCCCCTCTTTTGTCATCAGTATCCAGCCTGTCACCAAGTCCACTCCATCTGCCTCCTGGATGTATCTCTGATAATGTAACCACTTTCCACCCCAACAGCCTCCTAACTGCTGCCCCAGCCTCCAGGGATTTTCCCTTTTAATCCACCCTCATATTGCAGTCAAAGTGATCTTTTTAAAAAGCAAAAGGGGTCATGCCACTCCCTTGCTAACATTTTTGATGGCTCTCAGTTGCTCTAAGGATAACATTCAGTCTCCATAATGTGATTGACCAGAGTGATGACTTGGCCCCCTGTCATCCCGTCTCTCCCCCGACACCCACACAGACACACCTTCTCTACACAGTCATGCTCTGTCTCTCACCTCTGGGCGTCTTGTGTGCTGTCCTCTCCCCGTGAGCTGTGTCTCCCCGCCCATACCACCACCACCACCACCATGCAACACACCACCACACCACCGTTTTGCCTTGATGAATTCATCTTGCTGGCTCATGTTACTTCCTCCAGGCTTCTGCCAACGCCCTCCCCCATCACCACCTCCCCAGCCTCCTCCTGGGTTTGGTGCTCCCCCTCTGAGCTCCGTGGCACCTCATCTAGCTTCTTAGAACCCCTGTGCATATGCTGTTGGGTTTGCCTGCAGTCCCCTCTCATCCCGCAGGGGGCTTCTCGTTCACCTCTGCCTGCCCAGTGCCTGGCGCCGTGCCCAGCCTCTAGTAGGAGTGCAACATATATTTATTGCATATTATCCATACCCTGATGCATCGCAACAGGCTCTCCAGCACCGAAGACGTGTATATTTATTTATACACAATTCACATCGTTTTGTAGCCAGCTTCTTATTAGGCATCTGAATCTGGGTAACCCACAGCTATGCACTCAGCAAGCTCCTGGCTGAACTTGCTGTCTGCTGTTTCTCGTCCCTTAAACCTGTTCTTCCTTCCCTGTCCCTGTCCTACTCAATTAATGGGGCTGCCCTCGGCCCTGTCACCCAAGCCGGAAACTTAATGGCTGCTTTAGCCTCCTCGCTCCATCTCTGCGTTCAGCCATCGCTCAGTCCTGTCGGTCTCCCTCTCCATTGACCCTACATCTGTCCTCACGAGCCCTCCTTCTGCCCTTCCCGGCCTCCAGGGTCTCACAGCCAATCATCGTAGTGACTCCGCCAAGGTCCTGCTTCACTTTTGCTCTTCTCCTTCCCAGTTCGGTCCACTTTCAGTCGAATTTCTCTCTCCAAATGCAGGTCTGATGTTGTCTGCAGCCTCAGGCCTACGAAGTGCTTTCAGGGTGGCTTGCTCTCTGCTCCCTACCCCCCCACCCCCCTCACCAGCTGCTCTGGCCATGCCCGGAGCTGGGACAGGCACTGACTGGGTGCCCTTTGCCCGTTCAGTCTGCTGGCACATCCCGGTTCTCTTCCAGGCGTTGGATGAAGCCCTGCTGGCTCTGTGCTTCGGCTGCTCCGCTCTAACATCTATTCCTGTTACGTACCGGCTGCCCGCAGGCCGGCTTCTCCACCAGCTTGTGGGCTCCTTTGGTGCAGAGACCGTGTCTGTTAACCTGTGTGTTCCCAGAGCTTTGGCCTGTCGTTAGGGCTGCATCCTGGGCCATCTGCCCGCCGATGGTCAGTTTTCCCTCAGAAACTGTGTTACAGTGGTGTCCAATTCTGTGATGCAGCCTGTGTCCCTTAATGAGGGGGATGTTCTGAGAAACGTGTGGTCAGGTGATGTCATCATCGCGTGAACATCATAGAGTGACTTAACCTGGATGGTACAGCCTGCTCCACACCGTGGTACATGGTACTGACCTTACGGGACCACTGTCGTACGTGCGGTTTGTCATTGACTGAAGTGTTATGCAGCTCATGGCTGAACTAGGAATTCTATAACTTGGTTTATTTGCATTTCTTGTACCAAACACACATCCCTTTCATAAACTGGGGGAGGAGGTCTATATGGGTTTAAAACCATAAGCCTCTACAGATTTGGAAGTGGGAAGTTTTAATCACCTCTGATTCTCTTAACCATCCATTTCGTTTTGCCGTGCATCTAGGTGTCCAAATTTGCCCAACCTGTAGGTTGGGAGGTTGTCCTTTTAAAAAATCAGGTTGGGCAGGCTGGCTTGGTGGCATAGTGGTTAAGTTCTCACACTCCGCTTAGGTGGCGTGCGGTTGGCAGGTTCGGATCCCGGATGCAGACGTAGCACTGCTCCTCAAGCTAGGCTGTGGTGGTGTCCCACATAAGACAGAGGAAGATGGGCACAGATGTTAGCTCAGCGACAATCATCCCCAAGCAAAAAGAGGAAGATTGGCAACAGATGTTAGCTCAGGGCCAATCTTCCTCACCAAAAAAAAAAAAAAAAAAAAAAATCAAGTTGGGGTAGAGGGTGATATATTTGTTTCCTGTGGCTGCTGTAACATAACAAATTACCACAATCTCGGTGGCTTACAACAGCAAAAATGGATTCTTTCCCAGTTCTGGAGGCCCGTAGTCCAACATCAGTATCACTGGGCTGAAACCAAGGTGTCAGCAGCACTGTGCTCCCTCTGGAGGCTCTAGGGGAGAAGCCATTCTTCGCCCCTTCAGCTTCTGGCTGCTGCTGGCATCCCTTGGTTTGTGGCCTCCACTCCCTTCCGTGGTCATGTGGCCTTGTGTCTGTATGTCAGGTCCCCTCTGCCTCTCCAAGGACACTTGGGAAGGCATTTAGGGCCTCCTGTGTAATCAGGATAACCTCCCCATCTCGGGATCTTTAACTTAGTCACGTCTGCAAAGGCCCTTTTACATATGAGGTCACGTTACGGGCTCCAGGGAGTAGGACCTGCTGCCTGGGGAGGCTGCTCTTCCACCTTCTGCGGATGCAGCCCGTGCTCCTGTATGCCTGATAGCAGTGTGGGAAGGTCTGTGAAAAGCACGTGGTACGGAAAAAAGAGAAGAGAGGAATGGGAGCGGGCAGTGGCGCAGCGCTAGGTTGCCGCGTAAATGGATCAGGACAGCCCCCTCAGTGGGCATGCCGCGCCAGAGGCTCAGGGAGGCTCAGGCTGGCCTGGGCCAGAGCTCGCTGTCCAGCGGGGTTGACGTTGGCTCAGGAGAAGTATCCATCCCACTGGGTTCTCACCGTTGGGAAGTCTTGTCTTCAAACATTATTGTGAGAAAAGCTGGGTATGAAGCTGAAATACGACCCCAGCCAGAAGCATCAGTCTTCATGTGCTCCCCTTTCTGGTCCTAGGAGACCAAAGACGCCTCAAGACCCTCCAGTTTGGCAGACAGCGGACGCTGATGGTAACTGGATTGTGTCAACACCTCCATACCAGGTCCTAGCAACCCGTTTGCCTTAAAGAAGATTGGGAGCAGACTCTGTGTGTATTTGTAAGGGCAGTTGTAATTCTGGGTGTTTGATTATGAACTGGGTACAGTAAGAAAGTGGATTTCGATGGGATTTCTTGTGTGCTGTCCTGCAAGTTGCCATTATGAAAGGAGATGAGGGGTGCGGTTCCTTTAAAATCTGCACCGTGGCATCCCTTTGGTAGAGAAAGATGGCCCCCAGCTCCCCAAGGCCGTGCACTGGGGTGAAGGAGGACAGCTGGGATTGGGCAAGTGTCTGCCCTCAGCTGTGGTCTGATCCGCACGGCCACCCTGCTTTTTAGGAATGATCCATCCCGTCTGTGAGGTCATAAAGGCTAGGAGCTGGGGGAGTGGGTGTTGGAACCAGATCTGACAGCAAAGTCCGTGACCTTGCAAACGAGCTGCTCTGGGAGTGTTTCGGGTGTGTAGGGTGGAGTTTGTTAAGGGTCAGCCCTTAATCTGCTTTTTCTCCTAATGGGGAGGGGTTAAGCCAGAGCACGGAGCTTCGGTTAGAAGGTTTGGGAAGGGAGACAAGTGTGTGCAGGGGGGATGAGCTGAAAGGGAGCAGGAAGCAGAGGAGTGATGCTCCGCAGCCTGTGCTGGACGAGTGAGTGAATCAGTTGATGAGCAGCTTAGTCTATAAAGAGTGAGGTATGTGGGCCTATGGGTCAGGTCCATCTCTTGGCTGTCTCGCCTTTTTTTCCCTCCCTGCCGTCAGCATATGACGTACGTGCCGGTCATGCCCAGGCTTTGGGACTGCACAGATGAATACCACATGGTCCCTGCCCTCGAGGAACTGGCTCCCTCTTTGGGGAAATAGACGTGAACCATCAACCCAAGTGGCAAATGCTCTGAGACTCATGTGTGCTCAGGACTGTGAGGCACGAGGGCAAGCGTCTCTGCCTCTCCCAGGGACCCAGACACAGGGTGGGCCCCAGGCGCGCAGCGGCCGCATCAGCCCCTGTCCTCTCAGCACAAGGAAGATGGACTCTGGAAGCAGTCAGTATCCTCCTTCCCGTGCAGGGGCCACACATCAAGGGGATCTAGCTTCGTCTCTGACGGGAGCTGTGCTCATTCCGGGACAGGCGAGAGGGAGCCGACAGCCGTCGTTCTGGATTTCTAGACGGAGACACGAGACTGTGGGAGAAACTTACTGAAGGGCGTTGGTCTGGGTGGCCCTTTGCAAACAGCGGCTTACGCTGTGTGTCTACAAGCGGAATGGTGGTGTTTCTTACCACCTCATTTCAAAACAGCTGAGCACCTCTGTCTGACTGAGACCTGAAGATTCATGTGCACGTGACAAATGGATGGTTAGAAATGCTGACTGCATCTATCTGACCCTGAAGCTATTTTTAAAAGACCAGAGATGTGACTGTTTTTTGTTCGTTTGTTTCTTTTTCCTTAAAAAAACCAAAAAATCCTGGGGGGTGAGCCCAGTGGTGCAGCAGTTAAGTGCACACGTTCCACTTCGGTGGCCCGGGGTTCCCCAGTTCAGATCCCAGGTGCAGACATGGCACCACTTGGCCAGCCATGCTGTGGTAGGTGTCTCAGCTATAAGTAGAGGAAGATGGGCACAGATGTTAGCTCAGGGCCAGTCTTCCTCAGCAAAAAGAGGCGGATTGGCAACAGCTCAGGGCTAATCTTCCTCAAAAAAAAAAAAAAATTTAAAAAAAATCCTGGAGACTTTAGAGCTTTACTTCTCTTTTAGTGAGAGTCAACCTTGTTGACCTTGATCCAGAACATGAGTCACCCTGTTGAAAACAGAAATAGGGACGTGCATTTAAACGTGATTCTAAAAGTACTCAACTGTACCTAGTCATTTCCGAGATTCATTTTGATATTTGACATGTTTCATGCTATCAATTTGACACACTCAAGTGTCTTAATAAATATTTTCCCCCAAATCTACATTAAATTATCAACTTTAGAACTAGACTTGCTAAAACGTTATAGCACTTGAAGTTTGCTTACGAAGCACTGTCATAAAAACTGGGTCAAATGATTTAATGTTTTCTCCATTAGGGAGCAGACTCACCCCGAAAGGTGACTCAGTTGATTCGGTTCACTGTCTGGTTCCCTGATACCTGTGAAATTACTGCTGCTAAAAATAGATGCCCCGGTCCTTTTATGCGTTCTTTCTTTCTAAGGTAGAATTATTGTCAATGTTCCAATGCTGTGGAAATAGAAAGGTAGTGCTGACCAATGACCAAGAACCACAATGATGTCATCTGAGGTTTAACCTAAGTCTGCATGTTTAATTCATTTGACGTGTCGTTGGCTATAAGTCTAGAATTTTCAAATAATGCTTGGAAATAGTCCCCCCAATTTTTGACTTATAAAAATCAGCTAAATGTTAAAAATAAGATGTTGGGAGTATGTGATAAGGAGGTAAGGGAGAAAAAATGTTTGGGCATCCCTCTGAAATCCGGTGTCCTTTTCCGATTTAGTTCTCCCCTCACAATCAATGAGCTGGAGTGGCTGATTTCATCTTGATGGCATGCTTATCAAGATCATATTACTGCTATATTATCAGCAGTGTAATAATTAGTCTCAAATTAAGCCCTGTGCGCTTTCTCCTGGGATTGAAGTTAGCTCTTCAGAATTCTGTATTAAAACTAAAATCCCAGAGGAAGATGGGCATGGATGTTAGCTCAGGGCCAGTCTTCCTCAGCAAAAAGAGGAGGATTGGCAGTAGTTAGCTCAGGGCTAATCTTCCTCAAAAAAAAAAACTAAACTAAACTAAAATCCCTTCCTAGTGCTCCATGAAGGGGGCTCTCCCTATCTGTTACCAGCTAGTAGAGTGAGTGGCCTACCTTGGGCTCAGGTGCCAAAAAAATCTAAGAGGCCATCAACCCAGTTATGCTACAGTGAAACCATCAGTTGTTTTAGCAGGTACAAACTAACCTTGAGGACAGCACCGCTCAGATACTGTTTTAAATGGGGCCAAATGTGTACAAAAATGTAAAGAGTCCATAAGCGAAATTATACCAGTGATTCATCCCCAAATATATTATAAAAGACAAAATGTCACAAAGTTGAGCTATTGCATAGAATATTAATTGAAATGGAAATGCCTTCAAGTCTGAGCATTGATATTAATTGTAGGATGAATGAAGAAGCTCCACTCGGTGGCTGAGAAACCCTGGTCTAATTCTGGAATCAGGAAGGATGAACAAAGGAAGTGCCACTGGTCGCAGCCAATGAAGATGGGAGCCTTAGTGATGTTGCTTGGCCCGACTGGTCTGGCTGAGAGACAGCCACAAAAATACACGTGGTGTTTGTTTTTAAATTTTGTAAAAGTGGCACCAGGAGATGGAACACACAATGCTGGTGCATTGGTGCATGGTGTGTGCATGGTGCATGGTGGCGTGGATTACCAGTCCTGGGTTCAAGAGCCAGCTCTTCAACTTAATGACTGGGTGACCTGGGGTAAGTTGCATATCCTCTGCACCCTGCAGTTTCCTGTCCATCAAATAGGAGCGTGGGCAGCCTGCAGCTCCTCAGATCTGTAGGAGGGTTGCAGGAGATAATGAAGGTTATCGCTTAGCACTGCCTGGCATCTCGTAGGCATCCAACGAGAATCAGATATTATTGTTGTTATGTTGACTCCCTTCATAAAGCACTACTTTGAGATCGAAAGCCATTTCCGAGAAAAATCGTCAGATCTGGAGTAAGCACAGATGGACGTGGTCCTGGAGCTGATCGCTCAAGTGACCAGCAGGACGCACAGGGTGAAAGGGAATCTGTCTGGGAAATGCTGTCTGGGACGGTACTGGATGTGAGATTAAACAGTGATGATGAAGATACACAAAAAAGGTCATAAAAGAAAGACCAAACCTCTCACATGATATGATCTACATGATGATAAATTAACGGATGATAAATTGACAGAAATAATTTGCTCGAAATCTCATATTTTCAGATTTGACAATAATTATGACAATAGAAAAGCCAAGGAAAGTGAAAATTGGTGCTTACAGGAAAATGCAAAGAATTTCCATACAAATGTATAATGGTTTAAAAATGGGACATCAGCGAAGGTTGACAATTAAAGCGATATTCAATTTGGGCAAGGTGGAAGATTCCACAATGTGTTTGAGCAAAGGTGTATTAGGGACGCTGGCTGCAGAATCTGAACAGGAGGTTCCCAGCGTAGTCCCAGCCGTGGGGAAGACTGTGCCGCTTGCCTCACCGTGGCATCTTGGAGCAGAGCTCCTCCGCAGCAGGTGCAGTGGGTGCAACCAGCAAGACTGAGACGAAATGCTCCTCTCATCTTTTACCGAGTTAACCCTGATACTCACCTGACGCTCTTAGAATTACTTTTAGTAGTGAAAATCATCACTGAATTACAGGAATTGTAAAATCGACTGTGGGGTAAATACAGATTCACTGATAATTGGGAAATTCTAAATTAACTTTCAGGGTTTTGCAATACACTAATGACCCAAAGGATTTTTCACAGAGAACTAGAACTCCGTGAAGGACCTTACAGGCCCGAGACTGACCTACCCGTACTTTGTTGGGGGCACTGATGCGTGAGCAAGCCCTGCCTTTCTCCAGAGCAAGTGAGCTGGAAAACGCTAGTCTGTCTTTCAAAGGCCCTGGTTGCTTCTCGGATCCTTCCAACGGACACCCTCCCCCCGCCCCCCGCGGCCTGGGACACGCCTCCTTGTGTTGGAATGTTTACGTGCCTGTCTCCACTCTGAGGCTGTGAGCTCTGCAAGGGCAGAGCCCACGTCTCCCTCATTTCTAGGCTTGAAGATACAAGGCAGGTGGGCTCTTGGCCAGCTCAGGGCTCCCTTGCTATTTGTGGATCAAATGGGACGCCCCTCTGACAGAGTAGCAGAGTAGCAGAGACTTCCTGTGCTTCTTTCTCAGACTCCTCCTCCACCCCAGGGCACTGATGATAATTCCATGTCCTGCCCCCTGCCATTAAGTAGAACCATGTGACCAGCTGTGGCTGATGGGTTATGAGCAAAAGCGACCTTTGTCACCTCCTGATTGTTCAACAGCTTTGTTCAGGTGTTCCATGAGCCATTACTGAGCATGCGCCCAGTGGTGGGGCACACTGTGCTGCCAGTGGGGTGCGGAGATGCACAGGGCTCAGGCCCTGCCCTGAAGGAGCTCGGCTGGTGACTGGCACACATTCAAGGGCATCAACGTAAATACACTGTGATAAGCACCTTGAAAGGTTGTCTGTGTCCCAGTTTCTCTTTCGCCCCCTCCCCTATGTGGTCCTCAATCCACTCCAGTCTTCCTGAGTCTCTGCCACTTGTCAAGGTCACTGGTAACCTCCACGCGACCAAATCCGGTGGTCACTCATCTGTGTTCATTCATTCATTCATTCGTCCATCTGCACCTACCACATGCCAGGCACTGTTCTAGCCTCCAGATGCATCCATAAGTAAAACACAGCTCCCTGCCCTCGTGGGTCTGCGCTCTAGTGGAGGGAGACAGTTTGTAGTAAATGCAAATGAATGTCATGCCACAGAAGGTGACAGGTGCTATAAGAATGAGAAAAGGTGCCGTGGGGTCAGCAGGTGTCCCGGCAGGATTGCACTTCTAATTGGGTGGTCAGGGCAGGCCCCATGAGGAGGAAGAGTCCAGCAAAGACTTGAAGCGGCAGAGAGTGAACAGGAGAGGGGCACTGGGGAGTCAGGTCAGGCGGGGCCTGCGGGCCGTTGTGAGGACCGTGCTCTGAGCAAGGTGGGCGTATGGGCACGTGTGAGCAGACCTGCCTTAGCTTCGCCAGCCTTGTGTGAAATAGACCCGTTTGACTCTGGCCTGTGACCCAGCTGGCCGTCTCCTGTAGAAGCCCCGCTCGCATCTTTTGTCCTACGTTCCAGGGGTGCCTCCTTTCCCGAGGGATGCCCCACTCTCTCCCCTCTGGCTCAGCCTCCTCCTCTGCCTCCCTGTGCTGCCGTTCCCCAGGATGTGGTCTTGGGACCCTCTTCTCAGCTCCATCCATATTCCCTCCATCCCTTGCTTTTAAATACTATATATCTGCCTCCGATTCAAATTCGGCTCCAGTGCCGACCTCACGCCTGAATTCCGGATTAGTTCATCCAGCTCCTTGGCATTTCGGTTGGGATGTCCGGAAGGCGTCTTACACTTGACATTCCCAAGAGGAATTCCCACCCTGCACTCTCCCCCTGCCCCCAAATGCACCCCTCTCCTCCGGCAACGGAACCACCACCATCCTCTCAGTTGCCCCAGCACCAAACCTGAAGTCCTTCTGGATCCCTTTCTTCATCTTCTTATCCAGTTTGGCAGCGAGTCTCATCACTTCTGCCTCCAGAACACATTCTGCGTATCTTCCCGTCTCCACCACCATCCACCGAGTCTGCAACGCCAAGTGTCGAAGCAGCTTCTTCTCTTACCCTCCTACAGTATACTCGAAAAGTGATCTTTTCAAATTGTAAGATCATGTCACTGCCCTTCTTAAAGGGAGAAGCTGTTAATCACACTCAGAGCAAAACCCAAACCCCCACCCTGCTGTGTGGACGCTGAGATACACCATCCAGATCCGGCTTCAGGGATGGAGGCTGGTGCCCCAGCTGCTGGGGTGGTGGCTGGCAGACCCCAGGCCCCCGGAGACTGCTGAAGACCTCCCCTCACCCAAGGTCGTGATTCGTCCCAGAGCAGCGGCATCTGATGACTGATTACTGTGGGGTGTGATGGCCCAGCTCTCTCCCCAACCCAGGACGGCCCTGAAGGTTCTCCTTGTCTTCAGAACCGCTGTGGGGCTGGCTGAGCCTCCCACTGAGGCTGCCTCTCAGCTTGACTTCTCCGTCCACCTGACCCTGCTCCCTTCCCTTCCCTTCCCTTCTGCAGGGTGGGGCCCAGGAGCAAGCCCTACCATACCTCCCGCAGGAAGTGTCTGCCCGCCAGAGGACCCAACCTGGGAGCCCGGCTCAGGAAGCCTGGCTGTCAGCCCCTGGCCACGCTCTCCTTTCACTGGCCTTCTTTTTCTCTCCTGCTTAGGGGCCTCGGCGTGGGCTCTTTCCTCCACCTGGAACGTCTTTCCTCTTTAGTCTCCTTATGGCTGACTCCTCCTTGCCCTCGGTCCTCACCCTGCCCAGGTGTGTTCCCGTTCTCCAGCATTCTCCTCATCGTAGTGCTCGCCAACACCTGGCGCACTCTGAGTTGCTTACTGTCAGTTACCCCACCAAAATTCAAGTTCCACACCGTATCCCTGGTGCATAGAATGGTGCCTGGACGTAACAGGTGCTCAGTGAATACGAGCCGAATAACTGGGGTTGGGAAGGGAGTTCTGGATATAAGGAATGGCGTGTGCAAAGACACGAGGGTCAGAGTACACCCTGGAACTAGAGGGTTGGGGGCCCAGCTGGAGCCCAGGACTGGTGAGGGCTGAGGTGGGGGCTCTGAATGTGCCCAGGCCTGGACTTCCCTTGGATGACAAGGGCATCGTGTGAGGTTTCACCATCAGGAGAGAACGTTCAGCTTGTGAGGCTGGGTGTGCTGTGAAGGATCGGAGGAGAAGGAAGAGATTAGCAGCCAGGTGTCTTCCACAGTGTGTGTAATGAGAAATGAAAGAAGCCTGAAATAAGACAGTGATATTGGTAATCGACGCAAATATCTGAGAGGGAGGTTCTAGAACCCTGTGACTCATTGGATGGGCGGGTTGGAGAGGGAGGGGGAGCCTGGGCTGACCCCCAGTTTCAGGCCTGGGCAGCAGGTGTACCCCAGGGCCCAGCCCCAGATCACTGCTCCCTCAGCTTCCACTTTCCTCTGTATGCCCTTGTGCATGCTGCTAGCTCCATGCGGAACACCGTGCCGTGAGCCCACCATCCCTGCCTGTCGACTCTTCGCTCAGCTGCGTTAAGCTGTCCTGGAATGGACAGTCCCAGACAGGCCCGGCATAGTCCCTCCAGCTTTTGTCTCAGATGGGGAGGGACTCAAGAACATTAGACACACACGAAGGAGGGGTAATCCGTCTGCCTATGGTGCTCTCTAAACCCGTTCCGAGTCCTGCCACGGTCTGCGTGGGCAGCGCTCCAGAGCAGGCAGAAGTCCAGGAGGGGCGCTTTGAATGCTGAAACCAGCAATTCTTGGGACATGTGACTTGTGAAAATGGAGGAGACTACGTGAAGTTGTGAGTGTCCTGGGAGATCGGGGACGTGTGGTGGACTTAGGCATTCACCCGTCGCCATCAGTGGATGCACCTGGGTGTGGGGAAGGCCTTGGGTTTGAGGCAAGACATGGTCAGAGGACAAGAGAGCCAAAGTCGAAGACTGCAAAAGGGGGGCAGCAGAGAGGGGCCTGGGCGGGTGGCATCTAGGGCCTTGGTGGGGCGGCGGATAAGCCAGCAGGAGTCAGGTCCTGGAGCTCTGGGATTGGGAGCTGGCTCATCTAGGGGTGGAGAAGACCCTCCATGGTCATCAGCCTCTGGGGAAGGGGGGGGTCCAAGGACAGCGCAGAGTGAAGCCCCCACGCTGGCATCGAGGTGCAGCCGCCCTGCAGGAAGTTGGAGGAAAGGCTGTGTCACAATAGGCACCACCAGTCTGGCTGGGGGCGGGGCAGGTGGGGTGTTGTGGCCAGGCACCTGGTCCCTGTGTCCCCCAGCCTGCCATCCCCAAGCTGGCTTCTTGTACACTGACACATGCTTGGGGTCCAGCACTGCGTGGGACTCCCACAGTGGGCCTAAGATCACGGTCCAATGTGAGTAACCCCAGGAGGACTCTGGGAGGCTGATGCCAGCAGAGCAGCCTCGAGCCCTTGGCTCTCGGGGCTCAGAGGAGGTGGGGAAGGTGGGGGAATAGAAAATCAGGAACAAGCAGGCTTGGAATAGAACCGAAAGTGGGGGTGGAATTTCGACAGCGGGAGTTGGGACTGTCCTATCGTCTCTCTGACTGTGGCAAGGCACACAAGGCCTGGCTCAGCCCTGTCTCTCCAGGTCCGCTCCGAGGCCCACAGGTAGCAGCACCCTACAAGCACTAGTTGTGTGTGAAAGGTGTCGTGTTTCAGAATTTAAGATTCCTGTTCAGCACTAGTCCCTGCTCTTAGGGCGTAGACTTTTTCTATGCTATTTTACCTGCATTTATTTCTATAGCATCACAGACCGGGCAGCTTAAACGATAGGACTTTGTTCGCTCACCATTCTGGGGGCCAGACGTCCAAAATCAAGGTGTCAGCAGGGCCGTGTTCCCTCTGAAGGCTCCAGGGGAGGGTCCTTCCTGCCTCTTCCAGCTTCTGTGGGTTCTGGCAACCCTTGGCTTGTGGCTGCATCTGTCCAGTCTCTGCCCCGTCGTCACATGGCCTTCTCGTAACTTGATGACATCTGCAAAGACCCTGTTTCCAAATAAGGTCACATTCACGGGCGTTGAGGGTTAGGACTTAGACATATCTTTTTAGGGAACGTAGTCCAACCCACAACAATATTTCCCACGAAAACTTCTAAAAATCATAGGGGGTTATTTTCCTTTCAGGCCCTTGAAATAACAGATTTTTAAAAAATGTATTTCACAAATAAGCGTTGGGTAACAACTGAAGCACGTGTTAAAATAAGTGCCGAGTGTCGGCCGCGACTGCGTGAGGTCTCATTAACGTTTCCAGAGGGTGAAGAATTAAAGCCATGTGTATATGTACAGAAACCTCCTATGTTTTGACTTTATGGCATTCACCCATTCATTTGTTCATTCAACAAATATTTATTGCCTTCTAGGGTCCATGAGAGAGGAAGTGGGATGTAAGGACCTGGTCCTCACTCTGCCATCATCCCCTTGGCATCGCTGGTCCACTATGGGATGCCGTTTCCCTGAGCCGCCCCCACACTTTCCATCTCTCTCTGGTCCAGCTTCAGCTCTGGCTTGAACGCCTGCTGAGTTTCTTTCTCCTCCTAAACCTCCCATTTTCTGCTTCAAATCAGGTGGCTTCCTGCACCCTTCTCCCCATACCCACAAGGGAGACCCACAGGATTCGAGCTTCTGTCTGTGTTTTGCTTGTGCCTGGACCTGGCGAAACCTCCATGGTGATCGATCCCCACTTTGCGTGGATGGGACAGCCGTCCTCAACATTCTTCCTTGGACATGCTCACCGATGGTACTTACACAAGCCCCTCATGCCCACAGGCGACCCAGGTATCCACGGAATTCAGAATCTTTGTGAATGGAAAAATAGCAAATGTCTTGTGAATAATAAAGTGTCACTCATTCAAAAATCTCAAATGAGTGCCATTTTATAAGAAAATGTCCAGAGAAATAGAACCAACAGGATATGTGTGTGTGTGTATATATGTGGCGAGAGAGATTGATTTTAAGGAATTACCTTACGGGGGCTGCTGAACCCAAAATCTGCAGGGTGGGCTGGCAGGCTGGGAACCCAGGGAAGAGCTGCAGTTTGAGCCCAAAGTCTGTCTTTTGGCAGAATTCCTTCTTCCTCGGGGGAAGTCAATCTGTTTTCCTTAAGACCTTCAAGTGACTGGATGAGACCCACCTACGTTATGGAGGGCCATCTGCTTTACTCAGATTCCCTGATTAATCATTAATCTCAGCTAAAAAATGCCTTCAGAGAAACATCTACAATAACGTTTGGCCGAATATCTGGGCACCGTAGCCTAGCCAAGTTGACACATAAAATTAACCATCACGTATGGCTGGTCTAGTTTTCAATTTACTTTCCTTTTTAAAAACCAGTTAAGTTTTTGTAAGCCTCCAAATAAAAATGAACAATTTGAGAATGTGAATAAATAAACATTACCATTAAAGACGATGATACGTGGGTTTCTCAGACTTTAAGATGTGGCAACCATGCACCGTGCAAGGGGCTCCCAGCCTTTGCTGCGGCTGCTGTAAACCTGTGTTGTCACCAAGGGCATGCCTTCTTCATTTATCTTTGCGTTTTTCCTTATTATTTTTTTTCCCTGATGAGGATAAAAATAAAATGGGATTAATGATAGCATCGCGGTTCATAAGCACAGCAATGGCCTAAAGTGCCACAAGGGTTAATGACATCCTGGTGCACTGGGCATGTCTGTCACTGAGCCGGACGCCTGGCAGACCCGAATCAGAAAACGCTTGGTGCAGTCGGCCCTGGGGGCTGGATCACCCCTGGGTATGTGTGTCAGGGGGCTGTCGTGTGCACTGTGGGATGTTGAACACCACCCCTGGCTCTGGACCCACTAGATGTCAGTAGCAACACCCCCCCCCCCCAGTTGTGACAACCAAAAACATTTCCAGACATTGCCCAATGTCCCCTGGCAGTGGCGGCCGCAAAGTGGCCCCCTGCTGAGAAGCACTGACCCAGAGCGTGGGGCGTGGGCATCAGGAGCCAGGCTTCACAGGGTGTGGGAGGAGGCTGGGAGTTGCACCAGGCTGAAGCTAGGAGGCTGCACAGACTGTGCACAGAGAAGAGAGCGACCCTGGCAGAGGGTAGCCGCCATAGCCAGTGTGGACTGGGGATGGGGAAGGTGGCTTTCATGCTGGGACCCTGCACACGCTGCCCAAGGTCTGCTGCTGCCCGTCTGGGCCCAGCCCTGCCCTTCTCGTCCAGCCCCTAAGGGTGGCTTTGCCTCAAGGGCCCACCTGCCGTCACCACCATAAGAACTTGGTTAGGACCAGCCAAAACCCAGCTCCTGCTGAGGGCCCAGCACCAGGGAGACTTTGGGTCCGGGAATTTCTAAATGTGCCCGCTGCACGGTCACCTCACCAACTCGGGAAAGCGTGTGGATTCAGGACTGGAGAATTACTGGATCCTGCAACAGCATTGATGAGAGGACTTCACATACCTGACAACGGATCCACGCGCCCACAGCACTGGGGTCTTTTACCCAAAGAAGGCTTCTCGGGGGGCGGGGAGGCACGTGTGTCCTACAGAAGCTCAGGGCTCCCCCAGGGCATCATCAGAGGTGACATGAAGGAAAAGGGTTAGAACCCACATGTTGAGATGCTGCCCACGTATGCCCCATCCCCCGACTCATCAGCAGCTGGGATAAGAAAGAGCAGCACCTCCATTTCTGAAAATGGGCTGAGCAGACACTTCACCAAAGAAGAGATACAGGCCCCAAATAAGCACCAAAAGATGCTCCACATCATTAGCCACTGGGGAAATGAAAATTAAAATGATAATGAGATGTCACTACACACTTAGGAGAATGGCTAAAATTAAAAATACAACAGGGGCCAGCCCCGTGGCATAGTGGTTAAGTTCCCGTGCGCTGCTTTGGCAGCCCAGGGTTCACAGGTTCTGATCCCAGGCATGGACCTATACATCGCTCATCAAGCCACGCTGTGGTGGAATTCCACATACAAAATAGAGGAAGATGGGCACTGATGCTGGCTCAGGGCCAGTCTTCCTCACACACATACAAAAAAATATTGACAACATCAAATGTCAGCAAGGATTCGGAGCAACTGGAATTCTCACCCATCGCTGGTGGGAATGGAAAATGGTGCAAACACTTTGGGAGACAACTGGGCGGTTTCTCACACATACCTTTCCTCCATGACCCCGCAAGGTCACCCCTAGGTATTTACCTAAGAGAAAAGAAAACATCTGGCAGCTTTATCACCCAAACTGGGAACAACTCAAATGGCCATCACCTGGTGCTTGGATGAAAGTGCCACGTCCACACAAGGGAATACTACTGTGCAGTAAACAATTCCTGACACAAGAACGTGGAGGAGCTCAGGAGCAACATGCCAAGTTAAAGAAGTCAGACGCTAAAAGCGACACGCTGTATAACTCTACTTACAGACATCTGGTAAAGGCAAAACTATAGGCCATAAATCAGGGGTCCTGAGGCTGCAGGAGGGGATTGACAGCAAAGGGACATGAGGGACCTCTTTGGCGTGACGGGTATGTTCTCTGGGTGCTGATGGTGACAATATGGCTGGCTGCGTTGTCAACCCTAACGGAGCTGTACACCTAAAACGGATGAATTTTGCCTCCATAAACCAGACTTAAAGAGAAAATCAAAAAGGAGAGCAAAACAAGGTCTCCTCCAGAAGGTCTGAACGCTCAGGTGGCCACAGTCCTGGAGTCTTCTGGAATCTCTCCGCGCTCCCCTGAAAGCCGAAAGGAGGGAGAAATTCAGAGCAATCCCGCCTGAATCTTTGTTTCTGGGTTTTAAGTTTGAGGTGTGACCGACATGATCTCTTTAAAACTAAGAGGTAATGAAGTTGCTGTGACTGCTGGCGTCCTTTCTGCGAGGATCAGCCCTCCAACAATTTGCTGGAAGTTTAGTACAGACACTTTATTTTTCTGTAAACAAGGGTATTAGGAAACAATATTTTTGGCAAGCATTGCTTGTGAAGACTTGTTTTCTTTGGACTATTTCTATAAGCAGAAATGTGAATGGTGAAATCAGTCACTAGTTTTGGTGAATATTTTTGAAGTGAAGAGTCAAAACTTTGACCAATGCGATGATATTTATATACCTTGAAATATAAAGTTAGGAAACTGCCTCTGTTGGGAGTCACTGTTCAACACGGAGCCCTCAGAACAGGGAGCACCTACCTTTTCTGGAGTCTGCCAGAGTTCCCTGTTCTGTGCCTCTGGACTCTTCCCTATCAGATGGCCCATCCTCAGCCTGTAGCCCTGCAGAACTGCCCTGTACTGTTGTGCAGTGTGTGCACTGCATAAAGGTTCTGACTGAAGGGGGCTGCTCTAGCTCTGCTTGTGGGCTGGATGCTCATGGAGCTGCACGTGCCCAGAGCAGCAGCTTTTCCTAGTTCACACAAAGGCATCATATCGGCCAGGAGTGGTCGATAAACCAAAGCATTCTAGAAGGTAGGAGTGAGTCATGGTGTCCAGTGCTGCAGAGCCAAGAAAGAGGCCGACTGAGAATAGAGCACTGTGTAAAGCAACAGGGGCATCATTAGTGATCTTGAGATTTGTTTTGGGGGAGCGATGGAGGTGACAGCCTCATTCAATTTGGTTCAAGAATGGGAGGAAAGGAATTAGGGCAGAAAAATGTGTGTGTGTGCGTGTGTGCGTGTGTGTTGGGCAGGTCTGGGAAACAGAGAAACCAGGACTGTGTCCAGCCAGTATGTGAAGTGCACGGGTTTCGTGGTTCTATGCGTGGGAAGGAGTCTAACCGGTGGGTGATTATTTTTAAACGAAACAGCACATGAGAAAGCGCTCGGGGCTGTGCTGGGTACATCTGAAGGCTCCATCCACGTCAGCTGTCATGGTAACCCCACGAGCAGGGACGTGCGCGTCTCCCGTCTTGCTCACACGCCACAGAGAACCAGAAGGCCTGTGCCTTCCTTCTTCAACACGCCTGTCTCCTGCTCTTTCCTTCAGCCCACAGCCATAGGCCATGGCTTCTAGCTTTGAAGAGAGAAACCTCTGTTCTTCCAGGGCTGGCCTGGGTAGGGACTGGGGGAGGCAGAGGTCCCAGAACTGGCAGAGGTGGATGCTGACTGACAGGCAGGCTGAGACGCTGTATGGTGGCAGTGAATTCTAGTCCACGTGGTTTGAGGACAGGAAGGACTCTCCTGGGAAGACTAAGATGTGGGGCACAAAAGACTCTGGCACCCCCATTGATGCATGACGGTTTGAGTAAGAGCTCAAGTATTCTGAGGAAGTGCCCAGGGTACTGGCTCATGGACTTCCTCCATCTCCATCCTCCGCCATCGCTTCTTCAGTTCCTGGGTACGTGGGGCGGCCATAAACTCTGATCACACGGAGGATGACCTTTACAGGTTGACGATGTCCTCGATGACATTCTCGATGCTCAACCTCTGTTTCCAGACATGATGAACACCCCCCTCCGTGCACCAGGCTGTGTGAATGCACGACTGTGGGATTATTTCTGTCTCTTTATTCATCCTTAAACATCTTTTGCCATTTTAACCATGCAGCCTTAAAAAATGTTTTTTTATAGAATAATTGTCTGAGCTCAGAAGAGCCAGTGGTGTTACTCATTGTCACCGAAACCCAGATGGTATTTTTGTTCTGTGCTCAAATTGGCTTTGGCGTTTCTTTCCAGGCCCTGTAAGCGCCTTAAAATTTCCATTTATCGGGTCAAGCTGTTCTGTAATCAACCAGAAAGCGCAAGACACACGTATTTCTTAATCTCTTCCAAACTGAGAGAGAGGAAGATTTTTTAAAAAGCACATATAAATTTATATATATTCTAAGAAGAGGAAAGGAGGAAGCTGTCTTCTAATATTCCCATTATAACTCATATTTAACAAAAAACAGTTTGCAGATGGCTGAGGACAATGGGAGACGAGCTGTGTCTGGCTAAGTGGAGACTAGAGCTGCGTCTGGGCCTTCCCTCTGGGCAGGGCGGGGATGGGGCCCTGGATGGAACACAGCCGGTCAGGACTCCTGGATCAGAAGGGCACAGTGGCACCCCACGAGGCTGGTCAGCCCGTCAGTTCCTCTTGGTTCCCAAGAGAAATTCACAGGACTTGGGAGATGGAAAGGACGTGGAGGTCTTCTAGCTCAGTTTGCTCATGGTGCAGATGGGGATCCCAGGGCACACAGCCTGGGGGCAGCGCCAGAATCGGAACACAGACCTTTGACTCCAGGGCTCCTAGCTGCTAGGGTAGGAAAGGTTGGAGAGAGCCCCCTGCCTGTCTCCCATCTTCCAGGGAACGTCCCCTTCTGTCCTGATGAAACAGTCAGTGACCTCCTCCTGGGAAGGTGAACTTGGATGTAGGACGCCAAGGTGCCAGGGCTCCGGGAGTGGGCCGACCTTGTCCTGCAGCTGCCTTTTCCTTCCCCAGCTCTGGATGTCTTTGCAGACACTGGTCCCGGAGCCACCTGGCCCTAAAGTCATGGAGTGTAGAACATTCTTCCTGACCTACGATATGGCTTCCATCCATTTCCTTCTGAATATTTGCAATGCAGAGAAAGGTAGCGTGATTCCACATTGCAAACTTTGATTTCAGGGCTCCAGGGCCTGCACAGGTGAGCTGGGTCCCTATTCCTGCAAACTTGGGGGTCCGCCTCCTGGGCTGGCTTTGCGTAAGAAAGCGGACATGATGCAAATTGCTGTAGACCGCGGGCTGTGGCTGATGTGAAAGTCTTTACAAGGAAGCTGAAACTCAAGATGAGCAGTAAATGTACATCAGGATCAATGGTCCAAAGTGGGAGCTCCTGCACTCATCTAGAAAATGACAGATTCCCTAAAAGGAATCCCTTTGTTTTTCTAGGAACACCAAAAGCCCCGTAGCGGAACCCAATCACCTTCCGAGGCAGTGAAGCTCTGCTTATGCCAACTTCCAGGACCAAGCCTTTGAAACAGATGTCAGTGGACCTCTGTTCTACTGAAACAGAGATGAGTAGAGGAAATGTTTGCAAAAATATTGAAGCGTAGTCCCATTAAATTATTAGCATCATCTTAGAGATGGTGACAGTAGCGAGGTTTTGGGGGATGTTGCAGGCTGAATTATGTCCTCCGCCCAAATTCACACGTTGAGGTCCTAACCCCCAGCATCTCGGACTGTGTGGTTATTTGTAGAAGAATTCTTTATAGAGGCGAGTAAGTTAAAATGACATCATTAGGGTGGGCCCCACTCCAATCTGACTGCGTCCTTATGAGAAGAGGAGATCAGGACACAGACACATGGAGGGATGGTCGTGTGAGGACACGGGAGAAAACGACCATCTACAGGCCAAGGAGGGAGACCTCAGAGGAACCAGCCCTGTCCCCACCTGGATCTGGGGCTCCCAGCCTCCAGAACTGTGAGGAGATAAATGTCAGCTCTTCAAGCTGCCCAGTGTGTGGTACTTTGTTGCGGGACCTGAGCTGACTATGATGGGGGTAAGGCAGTCGGAAGCAGCATGACTTCAATTTAAAGCCCTACAGATGCTGCCAGCTCCAGGCCCAGGGTGACAGGCACAAAGAGAGTGCTGATGAACACGTGGGCACTATGATCGGCCAACAGTTGGGGCTGTGGATACAGAAACTGCATCACTGCCAAAAAAAGACAAGGGCCACCTCGCAGTGCCCCACCACATGCCTTGCTCTTATCAACCCCTCCTACACCTAGGAAACCACTCTCATCGGCAACTGCGGCCCAACTCTCTTCCCACGTGAACTGTGGACACAAAGGAAGAGAACTGCCATGATGCTCGTCTGCAAACACTCCTTCCACCGGACCACAAGTACCCGGGAGAGATTGCTGGCACCTTCCCCACCCCCAACATCCACCCTCCCTTTCTTCTGAGGAACAGAACTCCAATTTTATTCAGGGTGGACATATGCCCAGCTAAAGGACTGCCTTTTCCCGTCTCTTGGCCCTCGTGGCCCTCATGTGATGTTCTGCCGAAGAGATGTCCATGGGGATGTGTTGTGGGGATTCTGGGAAGTCTCCTTCAAAGGGAGGAGGCACTTCTCTCACATCCTCCTGCTTCTTTCTTTCCGTGGCCTGGAATGTGGATGCCACGGCTGGAGGTTCAGCAGCCATCTTGTTCCATGAGTTGACTCTGAGAAGAGAAGCCACATGTGACAGAACAGAAAAATAGAAGCATGGGGGTCTGATGACTTCGTGAAGCTGCCATGTGTGCCCTGGAATGCTTGCTTTCAGACAGCTTCTCTGTGTGAGCATTAAACCTTTCTGTGTTTAAGCCACTGTAGTCAGATCTTTGCTATAGTCAGCTGAACCTGATCCTAATATTTTCCATGGATCAACATCAAATGAGGACACATTTGTACAAAGAGGTTTTAAAAAAGTTCAAGAGCATACATTTGGTGAATAAAAATACCACCTTCTTTTCTGCTAGCCCTGTGGGGTCTGACAACCATAGAGCTAAATGGGACTGGTGAACTCAGATAAACAGGGCATCCTCCTTGTTCCCACGTTTACGACTTGACTTCCTTCCTGTCCAGGATGGAAACAAAAGCCCTGAGTGAGCTCCTCTGTCAGCGGCTCTGGAGCTCGGTGCCCGGCTAATCACCCAGAGAGGGCCCTCCTGGAACCCAGGCGGCCGCGGACCTTGGAAGTGGTGAGGAGAGCCCTGTCGGGAACGTGGTGAGCAGCTTAATTCCCTTCTTCTGTGTTTTCTTTTCCCGGCTTTGGCTCGATCTTAATCCACGTTAGCATTTCCACGTGTTTGCTCTGTAAAACGAGTGGCTCTGGAAGTCGGTTGGAGCTTTGCAAATCGGAAAAATATGTGGGGTGAAGGAAGGGGTGAGACCCGGGTGAGACTAGACCTGGGCAGGGGTCCGGGATCCACGGCCTCAGCATGGCCTGCGGGTCAGCCTGGGGTGGGGTGGGGGCGTGGAAGAGACCCCGAGGGCATCCCGGAGGGTCAGCCATGCAGGAGCCATGAGCCCAGCTGGCTCTCGCTGAGTGTTGCTGATCCACTGAAGGTGTCTGTGGTTGAACCCGACGACCTGTTTCAAAGTAGCAAGCTGCGCATGCGCAGCTGGGCGTGGCATCCTCCAGGACGCTCTCCTTCCCTCTCTGAGAGGCTGGAACGCTTACACGTGCTGCCAGGACCCGGAGGCGGAAGCGGAGGTAAACCCGGGGCTGCTCTGGTCTGGCCACGCCCCAGGGGCGGGGATTTAAGAGGCCTGGTCCTGGGAGGTAGTCTTCCGCCGCAGGCTTCCGTCTGGGGGTCCATGTCCTGGCTGAGGCTCAGTGCTGGGGGCCTGGCTCCATCTCCCCTCCCATCCCACCCGGGACAAATCTGACTCCGCAGCTTGCCCAGTGCTGATCCAGGCGAGAAGCTCTTGGCGCGGATGTTCCCAGGACTGGCGTAACCTGAAAGACAGGTGCTCTGCCTTTGGGGTAGTGGCCCACCCTGAGCTGCCTTCGTCTCCAGGAGGGCGGGGGGGCGGGGTGGAACCCCCCTTCCCCAGCCTCTTCCTCGCTCCTGTGTGCGCACCGACACGGCTTCAGACTCACCACCTGGGCCCTCGGTTCGAAGCTCCTTTTAAAACACAGAGTCCCGTGAGTGACCAGATAGCACCGGTTTGCAGAGTTTAAAAGTTTTTTTTGAATGTGTGCACAGCTCATCATTGCTCTGCTGAGCAGCCTCCGGAACGAGGATGGAGCCCAGGACGCCCCTGCCCTGTGGCGAGGGCAGCCGTCCCTCACGCAGCAGCTCTCAGCCTGTCTCGGCAGTGGTTAGAATGGCCCGCGGAGCTTTCCGTAAGCCCGATGCCCAGGCCGCACCCCGGGCCGAGCTTCACCGTGGGGCGCGGCTCCCAGCGACCTCCCCACTGGGGGTCTCTCCTGGCACAGCCATGGGCGGGTGGGCATCGGAGCAGCTCCCGGCTGGCAGCTCGCAAAGCCCGCCTTTCGAAGAGCCCAGCCTGTGGCCGGGGTCTGCAGCCAGGACACCTGGGCCCATCTGGGGTCTTCGCTGATGAGCAAGCTCGGGCAAGGGCTTGTTCTGAGTGGGGTCCTCACCTGTGCCCCGGAGGACAGGAGCCCCTTGCAGGCTTACTGCGAAGACAGAATGTGAGAAGAGCTAGGGGGACGTGCAGATGCTGTGCAGAGGCTGCTTCAAGGATGAGCCTGCTCTGCTGCTGGGGAGAGTGACCCCCCCCCCTTCACCTTCTAATCTTTTCATAGACTCCGGCTTCCTGAAGCACTTTTATTTTCTTCAAAGGATGCTCAATATTTTCTCTCTCCAGGTCACTTTATTCAGGCCCTTGTCGCCTTGCCCCATAAATTCCCCACCTTCCCAGCTCAATCCTGGAGATGGAATAGCCCTTGTCCTCGGCTCTCTCCTTTCTCTGCTCCCGCACCCCCCCCACCTGACCTTTCCCATCTCCTGAACTTGGGTTTTCTGCTTTCTTTGAGGCCTTACCCCCAGTCTGGTTCTTGTCCAGGTGAAGTTGCTGGTTCGTTTTAATTACCCTGCTTTTTCCCAGGGTGTTTCTAGTCCCTGGAACTTTCTTCCCCCAGTTCCAAACCTCTGCCTGATCTGACTTTGGTGCTCCCCCACAGGGTTCTGTCGGGGGCACTAAAATACCCTGCATGGGCCGTGACCTGTTTGGGGCAGTTCACTGAACTGTCCTCAGGACCCGCTGCTCGCTGTCCCTTCCTTTCTTCATAACCCCAGGGGACCTTCGGAGGCCAGACAGACAGTCAATGCCATGCGTGTGTGGGCATGTCTGTGTGCACGTGTGTGCACGTGTGTGTCATTTGCACATAGTGAGTTGCTTCTTCCCTTTCGCCTGCCCGTGTTTCATTCCTGGTGGGCCGAGCATGGCACAGTTTTAGGTGAGATGCCCACCCATCTCCCAGCGAGAGAACAGAAGAAGGAATACATGGATTTCGGCGGGATTTGGTCCAAGAAATCACGAGTGAGAATTTCACATAACTCTGCAGGGAAAGATTTGTATCCAAGAATTTTATAATGACAGTGTTTGGGTGTGGGCATGACGCCCAGCAACGTAAATCATGATGTTTGAATCAGGGGTTATGAAAACTGGTTCTTGAGTTTATAGATGTTGGCATTGCTGAATGGCCAGATGCCATGGCGCGATGCAGTGAGAGCCTCACCTTCGTGGCACAAGTTAAGAGTCACGGCGCCGTGGAGGCCTGCAGTGGCCCCTGTCCTCCCCCTGAACCCCCTGCAGCCCCAGGCTGGTGGTTAGCCGTGCGGTGGGCTGGATGGACTCCCTCCAGGGTCCTCAGGGCCGGCGAGACAAGGTTCACAGTTTGACCCCCTAGGAAGAGTGGATCTGCTGAAACCCTTACCCAGGATTTGACACACAGGCTCTCGGTAGCAGGAACTGGGCCCAGCCTCCCTGCTCTCGAGGCCCAACGTGTTCTCAGAACATAGACGAAGCCGGTCAGTGCTGCCCGTAATTTCCAAGAGATAAAAGATTCGGGGTGCTTTGTGGGAACTCGGGTGCTTGCTGCAGCTCCTGCCTAGGGAGACAGGGAAGAAGGCACTTATGGCCCATCCGAGAGAAAGCAGGACTCGAGAAATTGGGGCTGCAGTCCTCTTTCCAAGAGTTAGAAACAACCCACATGTCTGTCAACAGACAAAAGGGAAAACACGACATGCTCCGTCTGTGCAGTGGAATACTGTCCGCCATTCAAAGGGATGAAGCACCGGGACCTGCAACACCATGGATGTTCTGCTCAGTGAAAGGAGCCAGACACAGAAGGCCACGTACTGGATGATCCCATTTATGTGAAATGTCCAGAATAGGAAAATCCACCGAGAGAGAAAGCAGATTAGTGGCTGCCAGGGCTGGAGGGGGTGGGGGGAGGCCAGGAGGGTTGGGGAGGTGATAGCTAAAGGGTACAGGGTTTTTTAGGGGCATGGTGGAGATGATTGATTTAAAAATGATTGTGGTGATGGTTGCCCAACTCTGTGAATACACTGAAAATGATGGGACTTTACATTTTAAATGGGTGAATTGTATGGCATGTGTCTTATATTCCAATAAATCTGAAACAACAACAAAAAAGAAATAGAAGTGGGCCTGCTCAGGTGGACTGTCCAGGTGCCACCAAAGCTGACTTTGGAGCCCACCTGCCTCCTGGACCTGCCACCACGGCCCTCCCTCTCCACGTCTGTTCTATTTTAGAACACGTCGGCCCTACCAGTTAAATTTTTGTGCTGTTGCTCAGTCTTGAGAGAGTCGGCCATGGTGCCCTATTGCAATGGCCCTTCCTGGTAGAAATGGTGGAAAAAGAGGCCCCGCGTCACTGGGAGCAGATCAAAGGTCTGTGAACAGAGTCGCTGCCAGGTACTTGAGTGTTGCACAACTGAATAAATGAGTGATGGGAATATAAACAGATGCGGCAGTTCAGCGTCAAGGTTCGTTAGGAATGAGAATCTGCACGCCAGCAAGTTTCGTCTTGAACTGACGTTAAGCTTTGTCAATCACTGCCATTCTTGGCGTGAATCTCATTCTGCCACATATTCTGGATCTCAGAGAATGGAAACAGGCATGATCGCTCTAAATGCTGTTAGGATTCTAGAGTCCTCTTCACATGGGATATTAGTCCTTTCACAGTGATATTTGGAGACATGATGGCCTGAGAGGTTGCGATGACCTTCTAGAATTTGTCTCCAAAATCCTACCTCTATCCACGCTGGAAAACCCAGGCTACTTGCTGGCTAAACCGTGGAGCTGATTCTCAGTTCTGCACGGTTCCCCACAGGCTGTCCTCTTCCTTCCCTCTGGTCTGGGGCTTCCTCCTCTTTGAGGCTCTGCTCTGTGATCACTTGCCTCCCCTTGGGTCCACCTGTCATTCCTCCTCTCAGGCCCCCAGTATCAGAGCTGGACGCAAGCTTCCCACTGCTTTCTCTACTCTGCTCTCTTGAGGACAAGGACACACATGACTTTTTGTTCTTAAGGGCTGCAGTGGATAGAATAATGGTGCCCCAACAGAGGCTCACATCCTCATCCCCAGAATCCATGCATATGTTCCCTTACATGGCAAAAGGGACTTTGCAGGTGTGATTAAGTTAAGGCTCTCCAGAGGAAAAGATTATCTTGCATCATCCAAGGGCGCCCTAAATGTGGTCACAAGGGCCCTTAAGAAAGAGGGAGGCAGAAGGGTCGGAGAAGGAGATGTGGTGATGAAAGCAGAGATCAGGGAGAAGATGCTGCTGGCCTTGAAGATGGAGGAAGTGGCCACGAGCCGAAGAATGCAGGCAGTCTCTGGAGGTGGGAAAACACAAGGAAGGGAAGTCTCTCCTAGAGCTTCTGGGAGGAATGCAGTCCCACCAACACCTTGATTTTAAACTTCTGACCACCAGAACTTTAAGGTAACAAATTTGTGTTGTTTTAAAACACTGAGTTTGTGGTAATTGCTACAGCAGTGGCAGGAAACAGATTCATCAGTTTTACTATTGGCCAAGGCAGGGAAACAGGCAAGACTGAAGGAAAAAGGGAGTTGCAAGAAATCCTAAAAGTTACTTGTTCCAGCAGACACTGGCCTTCCAAAGTATGCACAGGCCCAGGTCTGTTTTCCACAGCTTCTTCTCTGACTTCTGTTAAAGCCAGTTCAAGGAGTTTCCCCATGCCTGCAGAGCGGTCAGTCTTGCCCAACCCTGGCCGGGTCGGAGCTTGGGCCAGACCACCTGGATTGACCGCAGTACAGCCTGGATTGGGTGGCCTCACCACCTCTTCTTGGGGGGATGCTCAGGCTGGTCATTACCCGTCCTGAGGGTGACACTCCCAGGCCCGTCCTGAGACTCTGGTTCCCCCACACCTTTCTAGGATGTCATGGCTCCAGCCCCTGGAGGCCTGCCTGGCCTTCCGGGTTTTCTAGGCAGCCCCGGGCATCCTCCGTTGATTTCAGGTGGCTGTGTTACCTGTGGCGCTGGCCTTGGAGAGGGTCGCTCCCTCTGCATGCTCTCGTGTGCCTGGAGTTTGCACATCAGTTGGCTAAGGAGGCTGACTGCTGCCTTAGCTGAGGCTCAGCTCTGCCCTCTGCATCCTAAGCTCATGTCCTGGCAAAGCCTCTCCCTGGCCTGTGGGTGATGGAGCAGGAGACAAGCTGCCTTAAGGCTCCCTCCAGCTGTCCCAGCAGACTCCTGCCCCTTCTTGCTTCAAAGCCGACATGTCTGAGTTCTTGTTCCCACTTCACAGCTGCTCTGGTCATTGGACACCCCAGTCTGGTGAGTGCAGGATGAAGCCCTCTCAGCTCAGAGGATTAGAAGCATCCACTGCCTCACATCCAGTTTCACTCATTCTTGTGCCATTCATCAGACATTTTGTTGACTGCCTGCTTGGGACCAGGGGCGGGGAGTCTTGGTCGTTCTGACCTTTAGGGAGTTTCCAGTCTCGTGGAGAAAGACGACTACCAAATATGATATTATGCAGATCCTTGATTCCGTTGTGATAGGGGTGTGATGAGAAAGTCCAGGTTGTTACAACTGGACCTCATCCGGCCTCAGAGCCAGAGAAAGCATCTGGGAGTAAGTGATATTTAGGCTAAGAGTTGAAAGTTGAGTGGCAGTGAAGGGGAGTGTGTGTGTGTTTGTGTCTTTGTGTGTGTGTAATGCAGTGGATTCCAAATATATTTGAAAGGAACAGCATTTGTTCACTCATTCATTTATTCACTTGGGAACTACTTACGGAGCATCTGGACGCCAGGCCAGAGGACAGAGCGTTGGGTGCATGGGGCAGCTGTGCGCAGCATGGACCATGAAGGCAGTGGACACTGGCAAGTGGCCGTCATATCCAGAGTGGAGGGCCGGTGGTAGCTGGGGCCAGAGCAATGTCAGGGAGAGCAAAGGCCCATTCAGGAGAGGATTCAGGAGGCGGAATTTCCCTGGACTGGATGGAGGCTCATGGAAAATGAGGGATGAGGCCACCTGGAGGGTCATGGTGACTGCCCCCCACTGTCTCCGGCATGAACAACCGGTGGATTGTGGGGTCCTCTAAGGAGGGGAGTGGTGCAGAGCAGAGGCAAGTTGTGGGGAGGAGGGAACCATGGTTCCACTTTGGACACACGCACCCCTGTCCCAGGCACGGGCCCCGGAGGTAGGATGAGGGTGGGAGGGGAGGGAATGCCACAGAGAGAAGGCAAGCATTTCTGGAGACCCTGGTGGGGCTGTTGTGCAGCAACAGAGTCCTTTAAACCTATGCACACATGAAAGCTCTACAGTTTGCAGAGCACGGACCCGAATATTGTTCCTCCCATTGGAGGCTGTCAGCACCCCAGCCATGTTCCCGGCGTCCCCTCCCCCAGAAATCCCTGGCTGCTCGGTGGGAACCATGGCGCACACCAAAGGGGTTTCTGCCTGCGTCTGTCTCCCAAGGACAAGGATGTTCTCTGGCCTCGGGCGTGAGCCTGTCCTGCTCATGGGACGGGCTGAAGAACGGTGATGTGAGGTCCTGGGAGTGGCTGCTAACCGACTGGGACAGGAGTTGCAGAAATGCCTCAGCTCCCTCTTGCCTTGTTGGGGCCATTCTGTGGTGTGTTCTGCCTGGTCCCGCAGCAGAGCCCCAGAGGGACTGACCCTTGTTAAAGTCTCTTTCCTCCCTCCTCCCCGTGCTTCTTGGGACCACCCCGCAAACCAGTGTTTGCATGCAAATCCTTGTCTTAGGGAACTATGAGGGAGCGAAACTCAGGCATTAATGAAAGTTCTCCTTGTATCCTATGGTCAATTATGTCTGTTTCCTTGGAAAATTGGTAAGGGTGCATTATATCCATTTAATTAAAAAGTTAATAATGGCACATGATTTCAGATTGAGAACATATTACCCTAGGAGTAATGCTCTGTGATACATTTCATCCCGTCATAAAGCGTCCAATTTATTCATCGTGATCTTAGGATGATAAAACATCTGGGGCTAGGTTTTTCTGACATTTAAAAACCTGTTTCTAAATTAATTTGCCCTGCAAAATTGATGCGTAACTGCCTCTTGCCATCTGACTCTGATTAAGTGTGAGGGGGGAGGAGGGGATCAACCCAGTGGGGATGCATCTGGGGCGAGGTGACCTTCCTAATGGGTCTTCAATCACCGTGCAGTGCAGGCACCGTCGGGATGGCCGTGCCTGCTCCAGAAGTCGGCTCTGATCTTCCCGCCGTCAACAAGACTTTCCCCTCCTTTACGTCCAGCTGACCTCTCGTGCGGGGTGAGATCCGAAACGGATAAAAACACACTGGGAGCTGCCATGTCACAAAGCAGATGTGTGAGCATCCTACTCTCGAGCCTGCCGCTGGGAATCCAGACGTGATGAGCCTCAGTCTTTTTAATCGACAGCAGTGGTGAATCAAGATGGTAGATACTTTGCTGCAATGTGACTCGGAGCCAAGGACGGGCAGAGATTCTGTTCGCAGTCCACCTTCCTTCCAACCCTCCAGGTTGTGATGTAATTGCAGCCGAGGCAGAATTAACAATAAGGAGCCGGACGTGCCTTAATTCATTATGTGCTTTGCCTGGTGCATTTATTGATTGGTGCCAGCTTGCCTGGCCGGCTTGGTGGGTGGCAGGTGGGTCCCTGCTGGCCCCTCCGTGCTCACCTGTGATGCCTGAGCACGAGGCAGGAGCTCATCCCATGAGGAGTCCCGGGTGGGCTGCATGGGTGGTGGTGGGGTCAGGGGGCTACAGATTCTTCAAAGCGGTACGACATTTCAGAGCACCTGTTTGCCCTTTTGTTAGGGAACGATTGTCTTCAACCCCTACCCCTTCCAAGACAGAGCCCTCCCTCAGGAGCTCCTGACTTGCTGTGATCTAAGGACCCGGAAGAGCAGGGTCAAAACTGCCCTGTGCTGGAAACCATGGGCTGCGTAGTCTCTTAGGGAAATGTGTGAGCCACAGGACACCCCCCAACCATGATGATGGAGGCACATGTGGTGTTCTAACCTCCCAGCTATGGGTTGTCACCATGGTAACTACTTTCATACCTTCATTAGTATTTCCAACAACATTAACAATGACCTTGTCTTCTTGCATCTGTGGTTTCGTTTGGTCCTGGCAAGGACGTAGGGGCTGGGTATTTTTCTTTACGCTCATTTTGCCCAAGAGGAAGTGGAGACCCAGGGAAGTTAGGTGCAGCCAACTAGGTGGTAAATGATGAAGCTGGGACCCATCGGGCCTTCCAGCGTCAAGGCCTGCCTCTGGCTGGGTTTCATGACAGTGCCTCTTCTCAGGGCCGTTGTGGATGCACGGGAAGGTAGGCATGCAGGCCGGCCCCGGTTCTGTCTGTTTCCTAAGAACCAAGGGCGTCATTTGTCCAATGGCTGACAAGGACCTCGTGTGGCCTTGGGATCCCACTGCCATTTTGTTCAAGGCTCAAAAGTACGAGCCCCTTGTAACTTGACATCCGGCCCACCTTTTGTATCCTGTTTCATTCTCTTCCCCACCCAGTCTGCCTCCACTTGGGGTCTTCTGGGCATCTCATTCCAGCCTTAGCTCACCATGGGCACCCCCTGTGCTGTGGCTTCGACCCTCAGAATAGGCTTCTTCAAGAGCTGGCAGTCCCTGGCAATGGAGGAGATCGCAAAGAACTGGACCCCCAGACTCTGTCAGCACACGGATTCTGCCCACCTGCTATGGTCTGAATGTCTGTGTCTCCCCAGAATTGACATATTGAAATCCTAATGCCTGATGTGAAGGCACTAGGGGGCAGGACCTTTGGGGGCTGATGAGGTCACCAGAGCAGAGCCTTCGTGAATGGGATCAGTGCCCTCGTAAAAGAGACCCCACAGAGCTCCCTGGGCCCTTCCACCACGTGAGGACACGGTGAGAAGACGCCGTCTATGAACCAGGGCCTTCACCAGACGCCGAATCTGCTGGCGCCTTGATTTTGGAATTCCAGCCTCCAGAACTGTGAGGAGCAAATGTCCGTTGTTTATAAGCTGCCCCATCTCTGGTATTTTGTTACAGCAGCCCAAACAGGCTAAGATGTGCTTGTTTATATTTTCAGCCTGGGCCATTCTTGGTGGGAAGGAGAAGAAAGAATTGATTTCACAAGTTGATAATCCGTTGCATAAAAAAGTGCTATTTTTTTGATTTCCTCTCTCTAACTTTAAGGGGCCCTTCTTGGTTACGAGGCCTGAAATTTAAGTATACACGTCCGAACCCAGCCTTTCTCTGGCTCAACCACTGTGTTCATTTGCCCTGTGAGCCATTGTCCCGGCCTCATCCCTACTCATGTCTCTGCCTCCCTCAGCCGGGTGACCACGGGAGGGTGGGGGCTGAGCCACGCAGACCCCTCTCCTGTCCACCTTGGGCCGTCTCCATGCTGCCCTGGCCCTCTGGGTCTTGATCCTGCCGGTTTCAGGGTTTGTGCGTGAAGAGGCCTCCGACGGGGCTGGCTGGGTGGGGCGGTGGGATGGGGTGTGGGTGGAGTGAAGGAAATGCCGGGAAGAAGTCTCTCCCTTGACCTGTCAGTCGTCTGGGACCCGGGACCAGCCACCTGGACACACATCAATGACCTTGAGTCCCTTTTGCCTCTGGTGAGGGAGGCTATCCCTAAATGATGTGTGTGTGTATGTATATGTGTGTGCATAAATGCATGAGTGTATATGTACATGTATGCGTAAATGCATCCCCATATGTGTGTGTATGCACGTACATGGATGTGTATATGTGCCTATGTGTATACCTGTATTCATACGTATGTAAGTGTGTGTACGTTTCTATATGTACGTTTATATATATGTGTGCATGTATGTGTGTATGTATATATGTATATGTGCATGTGTGTATGTGTGTGTGTGCATGTGCGTGGCATTACTATGAATTTTCCCACCTTAAGACTTTCAAAATCCGTGGATCCCAGGAGTTCCTGCTTTTACTACCATCTCCCTCGCCTGACCCCCAGGCCCCCCACCCCCCAGGGGAAAGCCCCTGTCCCTGCCGTCTATTTCAGAACAATTGACTGCCCGTGGTCCCTGGAGTCTGCCAGCGAGAGCTGGTTCTGTCAAGGTGCAGAATGATCCTCCGGGGCCTTGTAGGAGCACGGGCCTCAGGAGATGGAAGGCCTGAGAATTCAAAATCAGCTTTGTTAGCGCTGAAAACGGCCTTCAAATGCAGGCAGCTCTTCTCCATGGTTGGGACTCGTGGAAAGGGTGCGGCCCGGGTGTGACACCAATTCGTGTGTGAGTGCAGTCTCTCCCCAGTGGCTCTACATTGCTAGCCACACCTGACCGAGGCTGGGATGGCCCCTGTTTGTCCTCCCAGAACACACTGAGAGGGAGGCATGACACGGAGACACAGGGCAGCATAAGCTGGTTTGGCAGCGGGTGGGGGAGAGTTACCTGCCACAGGGTTATGAATGAGCAAGTACAATGGCACCAGTTTCCAGAAGGATCCGAAGGAGCCCTCTGCACAGGAATGTAGGGATGCTAATGGATAAGTGAGCTAAAAAGATCGGGTTGGTTGGAGACGTTTGCTTTCTGTGCAGAACTTGCTGTTATTTAGGTAACATTCCCCATTCCTGCCCCAGATTCTCAAAGCCTTCAGAGGTGAGGTGGTGGTTCCATCATCGCGGTCACCAGATGGGTCAGGTGACTTTAGCAGGTGTGGGGCCCCTTTTATCTGCACATGACTGCAGTCTCTGGGTCCAACTTTGCCTAAACCGCAGGAAGGCCGGCTTCCCAGCAAGTCTGCAAGCGTTATCTTGTGAGCTCCCTGTTCATCCTTCTAGAACTGAGGCTGACCTCTGCTCAGCATCCACTGCATCTCCCTGCCAGGGACAGGTTGGATGGCTCCAGAAGAAACATCTGCTTCCTTAATTCAGCATCATTTTCAGACAAAGATCCTCATCGATGACTCGTCCCCTCTCTGTGTCCCAAAGTCCAAAGGAAAATGACAGGCAGATTCCGGGATGGACCGGGGTGAGGGCGGGTCATAGCCTTTAAAATTTGTTTTTAAAACAATACGGCAGGATTTAGAAATTGGCAATTGACTATTCCGTGTTTATTTAAAGCAGTTGGAAGCTTTAATGGCAGTATTTATTCAAAACCTGTCGCGGCGAAAAAAAATATTTGGTTTACCAGAGGCTGTGTTGGATGAGGAAGAATTCTGGGAAACCAAAACTGGGTTTCAGCATCTCTAGTCCAAACAGTTGGGGAGCCACTGGTTTCCATGGCCGTCGGGGAACGGGATGAGCTCATCGTGTTAAATCCAGCGTGACCGTGCAGCAAGATACTTTCTACGTTGGGGGAGAAATTCACACCATTTCTCATCCATAGGAAAGATACCTACTGTGCATCTTAGAATTTAGAAGGTAAGTAAGCAATGTCAAGATACCCTGTTAGATCTTAGGAAATTTATTGTGGTTGAATGGAATTTATTTTAAGATCTTGAAGTCATTACCACCATTCTTTATTTTCTGAGCAATGTGCCCCGTCTGAGAGACAGAAAGTCCTCACTCCAGGGTTAAGTCATTACCGTGAAGCCCAGACGAGAGCCAGGTGCAAGGTCGCTGGCTGGCTGCTGCCAAGGGCAGCATTGTAGCCACGCAGTGGACACTTAGTGGCAGATCCGCCACCCCGGCTGCACTGTTATGCTTATTGATCCTGAGATGGTACTTTTTAGCATCCAAGGCGCTGGGCCGTGAGTGGGTAAGGGTCAGAACAGAGCTGTACAAATGCACAGGGAGAGGGCGGCCGCTGTGTCCTGCGGAGTTCAGGGAAGCGATCGAATTCTTTCCTTTCTTCCACAGTAACAATGGCAAGGTCAGATTGATCCGACTGACCTCTTCTGTTCGCTGCTTGTCAGACGTCAGCGACAGACGGCAGAGGCGGAGGGCAGCTCTGCATTCAGACCCGCGGCCGACCTCATTGCTGCCGGGCTGATGTCCTTGGTTAAAACTTTTGTCACCTTTTTCTTTCTTTCCCCTTTTTCCATAGCAAGCATGCCCTAAACACATTGCTTCTCAAACGTTCACGTGCACACATGACCCAGAAGTCTTGTAAGACCACAGAGTCTGATTCACTAGGTCTGGGGCCAGTCCAGGGGTCAGTGTAAATAACAAACTTCCCGTGATACTGTGGCTGCTGGTCCGGGGACCAGATTTTGTGTAGCCAGGCCCTAAGCTCCCTTTGACTCCGGGAGACTTCTAGAACTGTCTCCTTCATAGCACTGTGCTGCACCCACATTGGGAGCTGGGAAACACTTGTCCACAATCATGATAGGTCAGCACATAGACATAACATCCCTCACCCATGTAGTGGTATGAACATGGATGGACCGTGAGCTCCTATTTGCAAGAAGCAGAGGAAAGACTGACTCACTCATCAGCCAGGAAGGTGTGGATAAGGGGTGGTGAGATCCGGGCGACAAGAAAGCCATGGAGAGAAACTGGACTCAGAAGACAGACTGAGGAGCTCTGTGCATGGAGGGGGGAGGACAGCAGTGTCCAGCCTGAAAAAGAAGAGTGAAGGGCGGCTTAGGGGAGCTGCGTGGTCCTGGACAGACTCAAGGCCGGGTCCTGAGAACCAGGCCGAGACAACCCTGCTTCCTTGGAGACCCAAGGAGTCTCAATTTGAAGGGTCACCGCTGTCCTCTGCGGCCTGGGATGAGGCTGGTGAAGAATGGAGTGGGAATAGGGCAGGACTGTGAAATAAGCAGTCCTGTTCAGCGCGTGAAGGTGGGTCAGACCAGTTGGGAGGCGAGTGGGTGTCTGTGTTTAGAGGGGAGCCTCACCATTGACTTTCGTCATGCTGGACTTCGGTCCCGAGCGGGGTAATTGTAGGACACTGCTGGGGAGAAGGAGTGTGGAAGATGGGGCTCAGAGAACGGGTCTCTGGAGGAGAAGTCTTGGGGGCTTGATGCAGGGGGCTATCAGCCGTGGAATCTGGGGGAACCCACCACGGCTTTGGGGGTTGAATTCTACTGGGCTCCCAACCGAATTTCTGTTGTTTATAGGCCAGTTCTTGGTGTTCTGTCACAGCAGCCTGAATGGGCCAATGCAGTCTGTCTATACATACACACCTTTTCATATATATACATATATATATATATAATCTCTTTCTATGTATACATCTTTTTATGTATATAATATTCTCTGTCTATGTATCTACATTTTCACATATATGTCGGACATTCTCTTACATCACCAGAGTACATTTATCAAAATCAGCAGACTTAACATTACTCCATCCTAGTCTCTGATCCACTGTCCACACTCAGATATAATGCCTTTTTTTTCAGTTAAAAGCATGTAGATCTGGCTACCATCTAGCGTGAATGTCTGATACTGTTCGGTTGCCACTCCCACCCTCAATACTTTTGAGCAGATAGGACTATTGGTAGGTTTTCCCGAGAACAGGATGACATGAGTGGGACGGCCGTGTTGCCACCTCCTCCGGGTGGATCAGCGCTGCTGGTTGGTCCATTGTCATCGTCCTCATGAGGTCCTTCCCCAGGACAAATGGGGAGGCTCTCTTTGCCCCGTCTATGCCATTGAAAGGTCTGGACGGTCTGGCAAACTTTCAGATAATTGCTTGCCCAGAGATTACTTCCTTTGGGAAACAAAGGAACACTTTTTTGGGGAAGGTGTAGCCACCGATGATGAGTAAAAGTAAAACCCCACAAATGAGCTAGACTTTTTTGTAGTTTATAAAATATATAATGCCCTTTACCATTACTTTTTTCCCGGTCCACGATCCCCCCCAGTATCACACGTTGCATTTAGTTGTCATGATCATAATGATAGAGGGAAAGGATGATTTTCACTGTCTTTAGTAAAGGAAGGCACAAAATTAGAAGCAATGGCATAAACATTGCTGTCATTTAAAGACTTGGAATCCACAAATCCTTTCCATCAGCAAACAAAATCCTAAAACAATCGACCTGGGCAAATCTCCCGGGCTGCCCTCTGGGGAGCGGTGGGTACAAGGGCCGTTTCCAGGGGTACAGAGCCTATGATGCACCACCGTCCTGACCCCGGCCTGTCCTGAGTCCGTTATTCAGATGGCGGCCCCTGGTTGGCCACTCTTGACTCTGGTGCGACACCCTGCTCTTGTGTTAAAAGACGGTTTTAACGTTTCTGAGTTTTAGCGTTTCCACCCATGCTCTTCAACTGTGAATTTAATTACAAATTTTGCCCCGGCCCTGAAGGAATGACAACTTCCCAGCTCACTTCAAGCCGGGCATTGCCAGGTTTCAGCTGGATTGGCCTGCTGTCCCAAAGCGAATAAATAAGTCTTTGTCCAGAGCGATGTCGGTCACCCCCAACCTCAAAGCCCCTTTGAGGGTGGCCTTATCTCTGAGGGCCTGAGTGGTGCAGATAACAGGCATCAGAGATGAGGATGCGATT